CTTTCCTGGAAAATCGAACTGTAGATTGTAGGACCGAGAACTGTATTTGCATGCATGATTTAGAATAGGGTGAGGGATGCTTTGAGTATGCATAGTTCTATCTATGGTGTATGTGATGCCCGTGTAACTAATGTGGTTGGTTCTGTGGTTCTTGCATTGATTACGGTTGAGCTGCTTGCAATTCAACCGGTTCTGCTTAAACTGCTAGCCTAGGAGATCCTTAGGTGTGGGGGAAGTAATGAACCCATACTGTTGGTCCTGACAAGTTTTTCTTGGCTCCACCTTTGGTTTGCTAATTTTGCAGGAACATGTCACTAGACCATCCATTTGTGCAGGACCTGCGCCTGCACCGGGATTACGCGGATCAGTTCCGCAAGGTCATCCGGGGGAAACTGGAGCGTCACTACCATCTGAAGTGGGCAGTTTTCGAGCAGCTCCACTGCATACAGGAGCTCTCCTCCGCCATCAGCCACCGGGATTGGCGGACTTTGCTGGCGATCGAGGAGCCCACCTACACCGAGCTGGTGTGGGAGTTCTACACCACGTTTCAGTACAGCCCCAAGGCGGCCCGGGACTCCTACGTGGTCACTTTCAGGCTGGGAGGCCGCCAGCGGCAGCTGACTATAGATGGCGTGGCCTACACCATGGGGATCCAGTATCACCCATCCTCCCGCCACGTGATCGAGGTCCCGAACCCGAAAGACTGGTACATGGATGAGTTCTACTAGCGGATAGCCCGGCGCGCATATCGGTTCGACTACTTCGACGCTGGCCAGACATCTGTTCGTACCCTGAAGCCGCAGTGGCACATTCTGAACTTGCTCATCCCCCGATCCGTCGTCCCCAACGTCACTGGCTCCCACAAGATCCCGAAGTGGGTACTGTATGCCATGTACTCGATGGGGGACCCGGATCACATGCTGCATTTGGGTTCCTTCGTGGTTACCACCTTCTCTCGATGCCACGGGAAGCCCAACCATCTCTTTTGTGGTCCCCTGATCACCTGCTTGGCGCGCCATTTTGACATCAGCTTCGATGACCTCACCGAGTCTACTGTCCGGGGCGGCTCTGCCCCCCCCCCTTAGCCGGGACGTGCTTCACAATGCATTCCTCCTGGCCACTGACGGCACCCGTTCCTGGGTGGATGGGCTCTCCATGCCCCCTGAGGAGGATGCGGACCTCGATGAGGACGAGGAGGATGCTGATTACACCGATGATGATGATGATGATGATGAGGATGGTGATGATGATGATGATGATGATGGCGGGGCCATGGATGCTGATGAGCCGGAACCCCCACTCTCTCCACCAGGGGACCTTCGGCCATGACGGAGATCAGAGAGAGGCGAGTCCTCCTCCGGTCCTTCTGGTTCGTCAATGGCTTCTGGCCCGTCGATGGACTTTTTCACACAGCAGTTCCAGCAGATGGGGCTCCAGTTCCAACAACTCAGTCTTCAGAACCAGCAGCTCATGGACCATCAGGTCCAGTTCTACAAGCAGTATTGGGACCACCAGGCCGAGTACCAGTCCAGGCTGACGGTTGTTGACGAGCGCCTCGGCCGCTTAGAGACCCATATGGGAGTCACGGGTGCTCTCATCGAGCGGGAGAGAGATCGAGGCTGCCGATTGATGGAGTACTCGGAGCACCTGCTCCAGGCTTGTCACCCACCATAGGAGCACCACTGGACCACCCGGTGGGATCATTCACCACCACCGGCGGATGGGGATGACGACCTCATGAACCAGATCGACTTCACCGGTCTAGGAGGCCCCTAGTGGCATGTTTTGAGTGTTTTTGTTTTTGTCAGCGTGCAAACTGTCTTGTGTCGGTTTAGTTTCTCTCTTTTTATTTTGGATGTTGTACTATTGGGCTGACCATTGGACCTAACATATTGTGTTTGGGCTCTTTGGTTTCCTTTAGCTGTGCTTGTTCTTGACTGGTCCTCTCTCCAGTCCGCTTCACTCCGACTGGTCCGCTTCCAGTCTCCTGCAGTCCGTGCACACCGGTAACATCGTTCCCCTTTTCCTTCCCTCTTCTCCATTGAGGGCAATGTCGATCTTAAGTGTGGGGGGATGTTTATCTTTTGACTGCGTTTATCTGTTTGTGTGCTTGGAGCCTAGTCCACTGTCCAAATTTTTAAATTTGAGGGCTCCAAGTACGTGTTCTTTGCAATTGCCTGCTCAGTATGCTTTGAATTGACAGTCTTTTTAGTAATGTGCAACCTAGGGAGGTAGTGTAGCACTATGGAGGATGTTGATGCATTTATGAAGTCTCCTTTCTTCTTAATATTGTGTTGGTTGATTGTGTGAATTAGTGATCTTAGGACCCTTGAATTGTGTGGTGATGTGGACTCTCTACCTGTTATGGACTCCTGTATCATGTTTTTGAAGTAAAAGGTGCTCGAAAATGTGCTTTAAAATAACTTCTCCCGTGCGAATAGGGCGAAAGTGTGTAAGGGGAGACGGGAATCTGTTCCCAATTTCCACCTACTACCTCCAGCCCCCTTACATGTCTTTTCCCCGCACGAGGCTCGAGACATCCGCTCCTAGCATGGCCGGTAAGAGCCGGGCTCTCGCAAAACCTCTGCTAGGTGGGAGCCCCCATTTTCTGAAAAGCAGGTTGGGACTCTTGAAAGAAAAAAAAAAGAAAAAAAAACAGAAAAACAAGCAAAAAAGAAAGAAAAGGGGTTCCAACCATCTTCAAGAAGAATATAGAGCACCTTAAAAAGGTGAATCCATGATCTTTTGTTTTTGAGAGTCCATTCGTCCACGATTCATTTGTCCTCTGTTCACTATTTGCCATGATGCCGACTCGAGACTAGCGTTCTCGCCGAAGAAGCTATGAGATGACTTGTGCGTCGGTTGACCTCGTAAGTTGCTAAATGATCTAGGAAATCATCTACCTATGATCGGGGTTTTTTGTTGCTATAGAGGTCTGGAGAGTTGCATTGGTTTGAGTTAGGTTTGCTTGGGGACAAGCAAACGGTTAAGTGTGGGGGAGTTTGATAGACCAATAATTACACCTGTTTTTACCCCTTTCTTGAGTCGTTTGAGAGGTTGATTCGCGTGTTTTAAGCCGATTTCACGCGAGGTTGTGCGTTTATGTCATATTTCAGGGCCCGGCGTTGGAATCGAGGCGAAGAAACGAGTTTTGGGTCAAAAGGAGCGAAGTTGGGTCGAAGTGTGCTGCATGAGGAAAATACCCGGTCATGGGCTAAAATACCTGACCGGGTATTTATCGTTTTGGGCGTCGCCGAGAAACAGAAGGGCTCCCGGTCGTGAAGCATAAATCCCCGGTCGGGGATTCTTAGAGAAGACCGGGGATTTTTCTCTTCTCTTAAACGCGCGTTTCAATTATACCCGGTCGAGACCCAAAATACCCGACCGGGTATTTCGACCGGGTATCGCGACAGTCAAGTTTTTAAAGGAAAAGAAGGCTGAAAATCAAGGGGTTCCGAGTTTTAGAGAGACAGAGCGATTCCTAGAGAGAGAAAGCGACGAACAAGAGTTCCCAAGTGACATAGCTTAATCTTCATCACCTTTGGAGCCCGGCTTGAGCTTGGAGAAGTGCCGATCGACAACCAGGAGCAGAAATCCATCCTTCACAGTATGGTTTCCACATCTGAATCTGCTTTTGCTTCTTTCTCCATGGAGTAGTTCTCCCATTCATCTGGGTATGGAGAACCCTAGATTTGTATGTTAGGTATGATTGTATGAACCCAAGTACAGATTCTATGATTTGATTATGTTCAATTGAGGTTTTGAATGATTGAATGACTTGAATCCTGATCAAATTCCTGTTATTTCTGCTTTAGCCTAGAATGAGAATATCTGCCTAGGTTAATAGAGCTACCTTAATTGAAGGTAGTGAATTGGCGACTTTAGTCGAGGAGCCAATTCACTATTCTGTACCGAATTTACTTCGGTAGTGGAGATTTTGTTCGTTAGGGCCTCAATCTGTTTACTCCGGTGGAGGAGGTTAGTCGCCCGCTGGAGACTCAGATTGAGAGGGTCTGGAGACCTTTAGTCGAGACTTCAGACTGTTTAAGAACCTTCCGCAGTATAACTATCATAGAAATTGAACTTGGTAGATTGCAATCCGGCTTAACTGCAGTCTAGGGGGAACCATATCCGGGTGACCTCTCTCGACTTGAAACAACCGTTTAGCTTGCTTTGTGTTCTTGCTTGTTTGAACCTGCACTTAAGTTTTACCGCTAGATAATAAGAATTCACTGAGTAGCCATCACATCTAGGACCCGGGTTGACATTAAAACCCAAACCCACTATACTGCGCTTTAGGAAGTGGTTTCACTTGGCCATTTTCTAGAGTGACAGTAGGAGTGAGTCACTACGCAAACGATTAGTGTCTAAGTACAAACTGAAAAGAAGGGTTCGAAGGGTTGAGTATGAGGGATTGCACACAGTTTGTTTCTCGTGTGGACATTATGGGCACCTTGAGGAGAAATGCCCCAGCAAGGGAGAAAATGAAGCTGAAACACAAGAAGGAGGAACAGAGAATGGACCAACAGGAAATGAAGTCAAGAAATCAAACCTGAGGTTGTGGAAGATTTTGGGCCATGGATGCTCGCCACAAGAAACAAAAGAAACAAAGGACAACAGAAGGTGAAAGCAAAGGAAGAAATGCACAAGGATAAAGGGATGCAGGAAAGTAGTGGAACAGGTTCTCGTTTCAAGATGCTGGAAAATGTGGAGGAACAAGAAATAGTGGTTGAGACTGAGGAAGGTGTAACATCTAAGAACGAAAACCAGGATAATCAAAAACAGGAAAGAGAGACAGAGAAGGTGAAACCCAACAAGGATGAAAAGCAAACTACCCAATTGGACAAAGAGAATGGAAACACCAAAGGGAAAGAATCAAAGGGGAAGGAGAAGAACAAAGATAAGACCCAAAATCAGAAGAACTTAATGAGAAAGAGAATCAGAAAATCTCCCCAGACTTCTCTAAGCAGAAAGCCAAATCCATTAGTCAGGAGAAGAAGATGAAGGAGTTGTCTGTCTCTAATAAGAAGCTGGTCCAACAAACTAGGAAGACGGTCAGCACCCCACCAAAGATTCCTAATCAAGGGAAACCTAGTGGAAGTAATCCATCACCCAATAATGAGACTGACAAGCTTAGAATGGACAGGGTACAAGGGAAAGATGCTAAAACTGGGCATCAATCCAAAATGAAGATGAGCAATTCATCCACTGAGGCAAGTGGCTCGTCTAACCAAAGGAAAGATATCCCAGAAAATGGATGTAACCTACCCAGGAAGATTGATTTCAGCTCTACACTGGGGAAAGGGTTGATGGTGCCAGAGAATGCACAACACTCGACTGCCTCAACAACTGAGCAAGCAGATAGTGATGAGACGGCCATGGCCGTCGATAAAGGAGCTTAACTGACCTTTGGGTCCTCCAGGGAAGTCCCTTTTACCTTTTCCCAATGGTTAAAGTCTTCTCGTGGAATTGTAGGGGTGCTAAGGACCCCAAGTTCTTGTCTACTTTTAAGTTGTATGCTCAGAACCATAGTCCAGACATTGTTTGTATTTTAGAACCTAGAATTAGTGGTGTTGATGCCATCTCTGTCATCAAGCAAATGGGGTTTGATACATGGGAAGTTTCGGATGCCTCTGGCTTCAGTGGAGGAATTTGGGTTCTCTGGAATGAGAGCAAGATGAATTTAGAAGATGTGGATAAGCATAGGCAGTATCTGAATCTCAAGTTCACTCTGGCTAACAATGGTGAAATCCAATTGACAACGGTGTATGCAAGTCCTAATGAGCATAAAAGGGGGGAGCTATGGACTGCCATGAGGAGAATGGAGAGGAATACCAAGATGCCTTGGGTAATCACAGGGGACTTCAACTCCATTTCGAGATCATGGGAAAAGCAAGGAGGGGCTGGATTTAGCTTTGCCAAAGCCAGAGCTTTCAATAGCTGTTTGGAAGACTGTGGCCTAATTGACCTGGGGTACTCAGGGCCAAAGTTCACTTGGTTCACTAAAGGCTCCAAGATTAAGGAGAGGCTGGACCGAAGTGTCTGTAATTTGGAGTGGTAGCAGAAGTTCCCTCTGTCAACCACCTTGCATCTTCCTAAACTCAAGTCAGACCACAAGCTTATCCTCACCTACACCTCTGGATAGACTCAAAAAAGGAATTTGGTGAGACGTTTCCATTTCTTTGCTTCTTGGTTGACTCATGAGAATTTCTTCCCTTTCTTTGTTTATTCTTGGAAAAGTGGTTGTGATTTTCCCTCGTCTTTGCAGAGTATCACTGAAGCTCTCCAAAAAATGGAACAAGGAGGTGTATGGAAACATCTTTAGCAGGAAGAAACAGCTGCTGAAGGAGTTGAAATCTCTGGAAATCCTCAATGAAAGAAGTCCTGTTAGGAGTTCTCTTGAAAGGGAGCAAGAAGTCAGGATCTCTCTGAAGCACACTCTGTGGGAAGAAGAGATGCTTTGGATCCAGAAGTCGAGGGCTAATTGGGTGATCCATGGTGACCAAAACACCTGTTTCTTCCACAACAGCACCCTCAGTAGGCGCAGAAGAAACAAAATCCTTGCTCTCAAAGATGATCAAGGAAATTGGATCGTTGATGAGCAGGCCCTGCAAAAAATGGCTAGGGAGTTTTTCTTTACCTTGTATACCAAAGACACTTCTGTACTTTTGCATGACCTTCCTGCCTCCTTTCCTCTCCTAGATGATTCTCTCATAGCTAGAATGGTTGTTTATCCTGCCCCTGAGGAGATCAGAACCATTGTCATGGAGATGAATGGCCTGAAGGCACCTGGAAAGGATGGCTTCCAGGCCATCTTCTACCAGAAATGCTAGAAAGTTATTGGTCCTGACTTTACTACGTTTATCCTTTCGTGTTTTAGGAACCCTAGCAGAATTAGGACCCTTAATGAAACGTTATTGACCCTGATCCCCAAGACTGAGAACCCCTCTTCTATGAACCTCTTTAGGCCGATCGGTTTATGTAACGTAGGATACAAGGTCATTGCTAAATGCCTGGACAACAAGCTTAAACCTCTGATGCCCTTTCTTGTTAAGAATAATCATTCTAGTTTTATTCCTAACCGTCACATAACTGATAATATCATAATTCTTCAGGAAACAGTTCATACCATGGCAAAGAAAACAGGGAAGAAAGGCTACATGTTGGTGAAAGTGGACCTAGCCAAGGCTTACGACAGACTTGACTGGGATTTCCTGAGGAACACGTTGACTGCAGCCAGACTTCCAGGGAGATTCATTGAGCTCATCATGGAGTGTGTGACGACATCGAGCTTCCAAGTCCTGTGGAACGGAGAGGAGACTGAAAGCTTCAAGCCGACAAGAGGACTTAGACAGGGATGTCCCCTTTCTCCCTATCTTTTTACATTATGTGTTGAGAGACTTAGTCACTGTATCTTGAGTGAGGTGAACCTGAAGAACTGGAAACCTGTTTCCCTCTCCCCAGGAGGGCCTGCCCTCTCCCATCTTTTCTTTGCAGACGATCTTGTCCTGTTTCCGGAAGCCACTCCGCGACAGGCAGACATTGTGCTTAATTGTCTTGAGTCTTTCTGTTTGGCATCTGGAGAAGCTGTGAGTAAAGAAAAATCAAGAGTTTTCTTCTCCAAAAACGTTAAGAGTCAAACCAGAGTTGATGTGTGTAGTAAGCTAGGCATCCAAGCTACTAGTGACCTTGGTAGATACTTTGGAGTCCCTGTTTTGTATGGAAGAATGACTAAGCTTACTTATAAGTATGTGATCGATAGAATATGGCTTACATGATTAAGCTAGGATGGAATATGCTTAACAATGAATATGATCTGTGGGTTCAGGTGCTCCAGAGCAAGTATTTCAAGCACAAAGATGGTAGAATTACAACCATGAAGAAGAGCAATCACTCTAACTTGTGGCGTGCCATTGTAAAGGGGATGAAAAAAATGAAAGAGGCCACTTGCTGGAGTGTTAGAGATGGGAGAACAACCTATGGGCACAACCTTGGGTTGATTGTGAACTCAGGCTGGAGGAGTATGCTCTTGTTGATATTGCCAACTATGGAAGGGACTCGATGGTGGCAGACTAGACCACAGAAGATGGAGAATGGGGCTGGCAAAAGCTGGAAGAAGTTCTCCCGACTGATATTCTGGCTATGATTGCAGCGATGGAAGCACCCAAACCAGAACTGGGTGAAGACATAACCATCTGGGGCCTGGAAAGGGACGGAAATTTTAGGCTAAAATCAGCCTATAAACTTGTGCTGAGGACGATGAGCCATCGCACAACCACCCCTGGAAAGAGCTTTGGAAGTGGAAAGGCCCGAGCAGAATCAAACACTTCTTGTGGCTAGTGCTTCATGATCGTCTGCTCACCAACAAGGCCTGCAACCACTGCAAAACTGCAGAAGAGTCCATTGCATACTGAGAAGTTGCCACAAAGCGAGGTCTATCTGCGATCTAATGAAAAACAAACTTGCCGAGAAGAACTTCACCCTGCCTTTTAATGAATGGTTGATGATTAACCTTTTGAATGAAGGAACAGGTGTGGAGTTTGGAATTGTGTGTTGGCACCTGTGGAAACAGAGAAATGAGGAGGTTCTAGATGGGATATCCTTCTTGAAGGATGGGCTGATTGCCAGAATTAATGCTTGGTTCAGCATCATCTGGCAAGCACACTGCGACTCCAAGATGACTGCCAACCAAAACCAAGTTGAACGTTCTACGACGCAGGTGGGGTGGAAGCCACCAGAAGAGGGCTGGGTGCAAGTTCAAACGGATGGTTCCGTTAGAACATCATCTGGAAATGCTGCTGCAGGTGGACTGATTCGAGACCATCTTGGCATTTGCAGGAAAGCTTTCACCTGCAACCTGGGATTTTGCTCCATCACGGCAGCTAAGCTTAAGGGTGCTGCAGAAGGGTTGAAGATTGCCTGGGGTAATGGCTACCGGAAAGTGAACCTGTTTCTTGACTCAACTACGACAATAGGCATTATCAAAGGCGATTCTAATGACAACCACCGCCATGGAAATATCGCAAAGCAACTGAAGAGGCTGCTGAACCTTGAATGGGAAGTTACTGTTTCCCATGTATTTAGAGAAGGAAACTGTGCAGCTGACTTTCTTGCAAGTAAAGGTCATGACTGTAATTTTGGCACACATCTCTTCGATGTGTGCGACGTTGGCCTTAGCCAATGGCTTCGTTACGATGTAATGGGTATATCCCAAGAACGTTCCATTATTAATACGATTTAGGCGATAATATGCCAATCTTTCTACAAAAAAAAAAAGAGAGAAAACAGAGCAATGATTCCAATTGGTTTTTTGAGCTACTGATCGCCAATGAAAGCTAGAGTTTTTCCATTCATCAGTTCGAGGAAATTTTGGCGTCGAAGCGAGGGAGTTCACATTGTGATGGTTTCAAATGATAACTCTTGTACTCACTATCTAGTCTTCCATTTCCTTGCGATTCTCCATCTGTGTAATGACTGGGCAGCTATGTTCGTGTACATTGGGCCACGTGGATCATAGAACCAAGTTCCTTTAAATAGATCACATCCTGTATGTCAACAAGGAATAGATCACGTCAGTAACCATGAGTAACCTATCCACATCAACATGACATCAGTATCCTCTCTCTTCTGGAAAGTGTTTTACCTATTCACCTTTAATCTTTAACGGACAATTTCTCTCTCGTTTTAAGTCAAAATTTAATTTTTTTTTGCACAAATAAATAAAATCAAGGCAAAATTCACTTCCATAGCCATAACTTTGCACTTTGTGACAAATATAGCCAGATTCTGAGAAATACACAGAAATAGCCATTCCGTCCAATAATGTAACAGAAAACATAACGCCTGCTGACTAGACAAACGATCCCAAATGGCCGCGTTTAATTTGGTCTACGTGTATGCCAACGTGGAAATGAATTAATTATTTCTCATTAATTAGTTTTTACCCTACTTTACCAATTTTTCACCTTTATCGCAGAAGAACCAACAGATGCCCCTTTCTCCATTCCTCTTCGCGAAGACCCAGCAGAAACCTAAATCTCCACCCCCAGTCTCGATTCTCTTCGTCGGTGACTGTGAATTGACCAACACAGTCATCCGGTCATCTCGCCTTGGTCGACGTGTTTTCTCGCCTCTATCACTTCGCCATCGAACTTCCCTCCGTATCCCTTTCAATTGACGAACACAAAAGTGGCAACTCAGCATCGTGGAGCTTAATAGCAAGCTCGGAGGTCGCTTCCAGTCGTCGACGGCGAAGAGGATAAGTGGACTGTATCGATCTTTCTCGGTGAAGGTCGAAAGTATCGATTCCTGTAAAAAAGCCAAAAACAAAGCTCGAACCCTAATCTGTTTTTGGTAAGAACTCCTCGCCTCTTCCTCTGCCTTGCCTCTGTTACTCCTTGCCCCTCGCTTCTGTTACTCTCACCTCTGTTTGTGTGGATGGATGTGAATGGTGGGAACCCTAATCCAAAATTGCTCCTTTATAGGAAGGAATAACCAAGCTGTAAAGTTGGGAAAGCGACGCAGCAAGTGTTTGGAGGGACCACAAGAATCTCTTTGTCACGAGATTGCCCCTACAACATACGGTAAGAAGCTGAAATATGTGGATAGAACCGTCAAAGAGCGTGACGAATTCATTGCTTTGAAATTCTCAGAACCTAAGGTGATTTCTTAATGGATGTTGTTGTGTTGCTTGTCTGGTAGTGATTTGTTTATACTATTAGTAAGTAATGCTTATTTAATTAAGCTTAGGGCTTTATTTTAGTAGCTAATCAATTAAACCTCATTTGCACAGATGTCAGATGCTTGGGACGAGAATGATCCAAATCAGAATGGTGGTGAAGATATATCAATGGAGGCAGATGGTAATGCATCCGTTGCACGAGACATCTACCATGTTTATGACTCTGAGGATGCCATCACATCCGATGATGAGTACCACGAAGCTAGGGCTGCCTTATGTTCCTATGGGGAAGGGAAGAGAAGGAAGGTTAATGCTAGGTTGGTTCTTGATGGGGAGGAGGTTGATCAGCTTGAGGAGTTTGAGGACGACGCAACTGATGTTGATGAGGATGAAGGAGATGATGCAGCTCCACAACCACCTCATAACTCAAAACACTCCACTTCCCACCTGGCTTCAGAGGCACCTCCACAGCAGCCTCAGCAAGATCACAGAGGGACTTCACAGCATTCGAGCTACCGAGGATCTGAGGAGTCTCTTCACGTCAGGCCAAACTTGTCAGATGAGGCAGGTGGTGATCTCGATGATGGCGCACCACATTATGATCCCACATGTGATCACAAAGCTTTGAGGTTTGTATGCAAGATAAAGTTTGCTAGTGTGGTGCAGTTCAAAGATGCTGTGGTTAGGCATGCTGTGGCAGCTGGTGCTTTTCTGCGATGGCTTCGGAGTAACCCTACGAGGTGCAAAGATCCCAACTGCAAATGGAAAGTAGGGATGGATCATTCATGTGCAAGAAGTCTCCGGGTTAATCAAATAACCGCCAACTGGATAGCTTCTGACATGCTTGAAAGGTTCAGAATTAACCCTACCTAGGCACCAGATCAGATTATGGACGAGATCAAGCTTAAACACAACATGGATGTGAAGAAGAGAACTTTTTACAGAGCCAAAGTTGCAGGTATTAAGCTTTTAAGCGGGGTCCTTGGTTGATGAATATAAGGGTCTCCGGAGTTATGTTCCTGAGTTAATGAAAAGAGATCCAGATGGACGATTTGTTTTGGAAGTAGATCCACATCCAGATGGTGATAAGTGTTACTTTCGACGTCTCTTCATTGGATTCTCGTGCTTGAGGAATGGTTTTTGCTTGCATGTAGACCTATCTTTGGGTTAGATGGCTGCTTCCTCAAGGGCGAGGTGAAGGGCATGTTGCTTTCCGCCATTGGGAAAGATGGAAACAACCAAATGTTTCCTATAGCATGGGATGTCGTGGAAGGAGAGAATACCTCATCATGGATGTGGTTTGTCCAGCTTGTAACTCAAGAGCTGTCGATGAGAGATGGTAGGGGAAGGACCGTGATTTCGGATCAACAGAAGGTATTTTTATCTACTTATTTTAATGAGTTCATGAATATCCACTTACAAGTCTGGAAATGGCTAACCGTTTATGTATTATTTACTTCCTATGCAGGGTTTCGTTGAGTCCCTACGTGAAGTGCTTCCCGAGGCTGAGCATCGAAAATGTGCCAGACATGTGTATGCAAATTGGAAAGCAAAAAACAAGACTGATCGGGTTAGGAAACTATTTTGGAAGGCTATGTATGCTTGTAACGAGCCGGATTGGAAAAAGGCTACTTGTGAAATGGAAGAAATCCAAGGTAATGGATCTGATTCCACCCCATACACTGATTTCATGGCTGCTGAACCAACCAAATTCTGTCGAGCATTCCTCTCCACAGTTCCCAAATGTGATTCGGTTGAGTCTAACATTTGCGAGACATGGAATGGTAGCATTGTGAAGTATAAGGGATTTCACATCATAGACATGATAGAAGGAATTAGGGGTTACATGATGGATAGGGTGATGATTAAACACAAGATTCTCATGGACACTACTGATGAACTTTGTCCTAGAATTAGGAAACGATTGGAGAAGGACAAAGAGTTTGCTAGTTTGTGTGTGTCTAGACAATCTTTACATGATAAGTGTGAAGTGAAGATGGGTGGTGAAGGGTATATTGTGGATCTGAGTGCAAAAGAATGCACGTGTGGGTACTGGCAGCTCAGTGGAATCCCCTGTTGTCATGCTATTTCTGCGATCAGCCACCTAAGGAAAGATCCAGATGATTTTGTTCATCCTCTTTACCGAGCAATGCACGTGTCTGAGGGTTACAAGGTAGGGATTCCTTGTCTTGATGGTAGACAAGCGTGGCCAACTGCTCAAGGGTATGAAGTCCACCCTCCTAAGGCTAGAGCATTGCCTGGGCGCCCTAAGAAAACAGAAAAAAGTCTGCTGCTGAGTTAGAGACGAGACCACAACGTGGAGGAGTGGGTGAGGAAGTCTGTAGGTGAGGTAACTTGATCCGCTGCTCAAATTGTGGAGGTGAAGGCCACAACGCAAGATCTTGCAAAGCACCTCCTGCTGCCCGAGAAGAAAGGGTATAATTCTAACTAACCTATGACTGTATTTTTGCTATTGTTATGTAATACTTAATGTGCTCATTTCTCTACTGTTTTGAAGGTAAACAATTCCTCTCAAAGGGGGAAGAGAGATGCTGTCCAAGAAGCGGATGTGGATGTGAGGTCCAAACGTGCCAAACACTGCTCCAAGTGTGGACGACCAGATCACAATATGAGGACATGTCCATTGAATAGGGGTCTAGGGATACAGGTAAGCTTGCAAGTTGATATCTTGTGTGAATGGTTAATTACAGTGCATTTATTTTCGCATTGATATGAGAATGGAGAATGGTGAATGACTATGAATGGTATGGTTTTGATAAGGACGTGAGATTGAATGTTGGAGATCGAGCTATGATTGACAGGGAAATACGTCGTGCAGCTGCTGGCGTGGGTGTGTATGTCGATGAGAACACGGGGAACCAATATGTTAGGGTGAGTTGCATCATATTATTGTAAGGGTGAGAATGTTTGTCAAGTGCTGCCTCATAACTTACCTATGTTTGTTCTTACATTTACAGATGAATGGTGACCGTGGCCGCCCTCATGAAGAGCAACCAACAGTTCCTTTAGCCCAAGCTTCTGTGGTGGACTTACATGGAAGCCAACCACCACCAACTCAGCCTTAGAGGGTCATGAAAGCAACCTTTTTTAGTCATTTTTTGTACAGACCAGCAACTGAGGTTGTTAGGTGTTGTTTTTGTCGACTCATGTAATGGCTAGAATAAGCCTTAAGGATTGCTCACTTTCTGTTAGGTGTAGTGTAGCTAAGTGATGTTAGGTGTAGTGTAGCTAAGTGATGTGAACAGGTGGCTAGAAACACCTTATGTTATGATCTATTATGGGTTCAAAAACATCTTATGTTATCCAAGTGATATGAACAAGTGGTGTGAACAGGTTATGCACTTGTTATGTAATGCATATTATGCACTTCTTTTGTCCCCAAATACATATAGTCAAAAGGTTAAACCAGGTTATCCAACTCTTTGGTCATTGAATTCCAGAAAGTCATACCAAATTCAAGTACACAAACTTACATACCAATATAAGTTCGACATCGACCTACATACCCAACTTACATGAACGATAACTTACATGCCACAATCCTTCCTCCACAGAACCACAAACAAAAATACATTCATGATCAACAAAACAGTCAACATATATCTCATGACCCGGATCTCTTCACCCAATCTAACTTGGCAAACTTGCATCCAATTCCTTAATTCTTCTGTCAGCAGCTTTTTTTCCTTCATCCTCTTTTCAGCATTGGATTCGGCCAGCCTTAGCCTCTCCTCCAGGTTCATAATAATACTCTCTATCTCATGGTTCCTTAACTCTAATGGCTCCTCATTGCTGTTCACCCACCTAAAAAATCTACATCCTTTCCCATTCTGCAAACCATCGACCCTCCTTAGCCAACAAAACAACAAACAAATACAATCATCAATTACAATGGAATGGCCTTACCCGCCAATAACGACAGCCATAGAACTGCCTTCCTGGATTCAACTCAGTCCCAGATGTATTAATCACAGCTGGGACATTGTGTTAGCATAGGAAGGAAAACCCACTCTTGACGCTGGTTGAGCCCGAATCGCCGCCATTCTTGCGAGTGCCCCGACTTCCCCTTTGTGACATCGTTAGGGATGGGAGATGCGAACTACCGGTGAATGGTTAGGGAGACAAGCGATGGCGGAATCACAGTTGTCCACGGTGTCGAGTTATCTTCGCCGGATTCAGACTACCGCTACGAGGAAGGTGGAAGCCGATTTCGGGGTTTTTTCTGGGAGGGTCGATGAAATCGAAAAGTGAGATGGAGAAGGGACGAGGGGAACCAGGGGTCGGCGAAATCGGTGAATGGGTAGGGAGACAAGCGACGGCGGAATCACAGTTGTAGGCGTCGAGGGTTCTTCGCCGGATTCAGACTGCCGCTAGGAAGCCGATTTTGGGGTTTTTTCTTGGAGGGTCGATGAAATCAAAAAATGAGATGGAGAAGAAGTCGCTGGGCATATTTAATTGCCCCAACCGGTTCTCTCTCCTCTAGATGACGTGGCGCTTTGGTGGCAAATTCAGTCCTGTTGGCGCTGACGTGGAGTTCATAATTCGGCCACGTCAGCGACGCGGACATGTAATTAACGGCGTCCCTGACAGCGTCATCTTTAATAACGGAAATGGCTATTACCGTCAATGCATTTTCAAATTTTTGGCTATTTCTGTGTATTTCTCAGAATCTGGCTATATTTGTCACAAAGTGCAAAGTTATGGCTATGGAAGTTAATTTTGCCTAAAATTAAATGTGCTCTTTAAAATGATATCCACTTTAATATATTTTTAGTACAAAAAAAATTGAATAATTTTTTACCAGTCATTACCATATGGTATGCTCCTATTTAATACCATATGGGAAGAAAGCGTACCATGATGGTATGAACATACCAATATGGTACATGATAGTAGGAGTATACTAACTGTCATTTACGACTTTCATAATTGTTTACTACTAGTTACCACAAGTTACCACCCACATATCATAGTGGTAAAGTATGGTAATTTTTTATCTAGTATTTTTTCACCCAAAAATTTATAGATCCAATAGATCATGATGAACTCGTTCCTTCTGACCAAACGTTTTCAAAAACGACTTAAAAACGAAGAAGTTACCACATGGTATGTAGTTGGTAAAGAAAAGTTTCTTGAAATATGTTGAAAATTGATCTCATTTTGTAGAGAACAATGAACTCATTCCATCAGCGCAAAAAAAATTGAAATCCGAGTTAGAACAAAGAAGATAAGAGCTGATTAAGAAAACTAGGGAAAATAAAATGTCTTTAATTGACAACCCTTAGATCTGAATTTTCTGGACCCACCTAGATCCAAATATTCAGATTTAATTACTCAAATGTCTATCAACAGATTATGAAGAGATTGTGAGCAAAATGAAAATGAAGGCACCAAACCAGCATATGATCTTTTAAGCAAAATGAAAATGAAGGGCACTAGACCAGCATATGATCTTTACGCCGAAGGGAAAGTCCTCGTGTTTTGTTCTTTTTATTTCATTTATTAAAATCAAAGTATCCGTGCTCCCAGAGCCTCAAACGGACAACTACGGTAACGGAATAGATAATAGTAAAGCAATGAACCAAATATAAATACAGGGTGCTTAAAAGACATTAATAAAAATTATTAAAAAGCAAAGCATTTCTGTGAAGCTCAACCAAAAAGAGAAAATTATAGGCAAGATAGCATCTAAGATTTAAATAACATATTCATCCATAAATGCAAGCATTATCGATTCAAGAAATGACATCTTTAAGAAAAGGTATTCAGTATGAGGTTTTATATAAAGATAGCAATGTGCAACCCCAAAGAAAAGTATCATCTAGAGTCTATTCGCAACCATCTATGTCAGATAAACCATACTCAAATGAAGTGAATGAACTAAATGGAAGTGAGCAAATTCGGTATAATAATCCAATTCATATATCGGTCTCAACCATACCATGGAGTTAAAGAGACATTCAGATTATCCGACTGGAGAGAGATGTACCTGAATCATTTGAACCAGTCGTTGTAACTTAGCTCCATCAGATGTTTCTCCCCGACACTTCCAAAAAAACCCACCAAACCCATGTAAAAGCAAAATTCACTCTTCCAAAAAACCCACCAAAACCATATAAAAGCAAAATTCACCAAAGCACAACTGACAACACGTAAACACAAAACAAAATTGAATTAGTGAAAAGACATTAAACAACATATTCCCTTGGTAGTTGATAGATCCAAGTTTCCATACCACTAATTTTGGTAGGTGGCATCAGGTTAGTTCCAATAGATTCTTCCCATCCACCCTGCACCTCTTTACAAAAATCTATAGTGTAAATAATTGTCAGCATCAAAGAGCTGCAATCAGTTGCAAAGAAAGAAGAGTACTCGATCAATTAACGAAAAGATGGAAACTCGAAAATAGAACCTAACATTCTAGGCTATTATTTACTTGTGCACTAATGCTTGTTCAAATCCTTGAACTCATTATGAAAAAAGACATTTTAGTTTAGAAGTATCATACTCAAAGAGTACTCTATTAGAGCTTGTTAGTGGAGAGATCAAACTAACTCTTAAATCTCTCTTTCGTGGCATGAAAGTCTTATGTGGGTTATCAAATTCATCAGGAGGTTCCTAGCTTTGTGTACCTATTGGTGTTGTTAAATATATAAAGATCATTATGTAAATAACCGACGTATAAGGTTATGTAGTTAAGGTTTGGTGTGAGCAAACCTATATAAACTATTGTACCTGTACGTGAGAAGTTAAGCCGACTAATAAGAACTAAAACATGAGAGGGAGATCCTCTCCGTGGACTAGTGTCTAACGATGATACCACGTTAAAAATGTCTCTGCGTATTTCGATTTCTGTTAGCCAAATTGACATGGTATTAGAGCATTGATCAGGGCCTTTGATTTCAGCTCAGCTTCACATCAGGGTTTGCTCCGTTCGGCAGCTCCAGGTTCTGTCCTTTCGCCGATTTCAGCTTTTGGTCATTGTTTTTCTTCTTCTCGGTGCAACGTTCATTCTTTGGCAATCTCGATAGCTGCTTCTGGTTTTGAGTGTGTTCCCACCAAGTTTGACGGCAAGAACCTTGCCTTATGGGAGTTCCGGTTTCGAAACTTCATCGAAGGGAAGCGGCTTCTTCCCATTCTGAACGAGACTTCAAAGAAGCCAGCTGATACTGCGCCGAAGAAGGATCGCGCGGATTGAGCGGCCGCCAATGCCCAGGTTGTGTCCTGGTTAGAGGACTCGGTCGATGTTCCTACTGCCCTAGGACTTCAGCAATTCTCCTCAGCCCATGAGATGTGGACTCATGTCTACAAAACTTATTCCCAGGCTAACTCCTCATGCCAATTTGATCTTGAGTTCGCCATCGCAAAGCTTGTTCAGGGAGAAAGGGATATCCACGGCTACTATCAAGAGAGTCTTAATTTATGGACTGAATACGATCTGTTGATGGCGTCCCTGTCGCCGGAAGCGAATATCTCGCAGGTGATCAAGGAGCGCACTAGGTCGCGTATGATGCAGTTCATCATGAAGCTTTGCCCTGAGTACGAATCTGTTCGTGCTTCGCTTATTCATCGTGGAGTCACTGAATTTGAAGAAGTCCTTGGTGCGCTGCTGCGAGAAGAAACCAGGCTACGTAGCCAAGCTCAGATAGACACCCTCTCGGCTCCTAGGGAATCGGCATTTGCAGTTGGTAAAAGTGGCAGCACTCGTCCTCAGTTCCAAGCCCAAGGTACTAGCACTCTCACTTGTCACTACTGCCATGAAGTCGGACATATCCGGCCTCACTGTAAGCAGCATAATATTTACATTTATTGTAAAAGAGTTGGTCACATTATCCTAGTTAGTAAAACACTAGCTCGAAAGGGTGGGCTGCGTCCAGGCTATGGTAGTAAGCATGCAGGTTCTGGATCCTCGAGTGGTAACTTGATCTATGTTGTTGTCGAGAAGAACTCTTCCCAGGGACGCTCGTCGTCCCCTACTCCTTCGACTGGTGGCAATGTGTCATCAGACACTATCCGTCGTTTGGTACAGGAAGCTCTTCCCAATGCTTTAAACGCAACGTTTGCTATTGGTGGTTATTCAGGTAAACTTCCTCGTTGGTTACTCGATTCAACGGCTTTCAATCATATGTCTGGTGTTCAAAAATACTTCACTCAGGTTCATCAGGTGGCTCCTATGACATTACAAGTGGCGAACGGGACTAAGGTTCCTGTTCATGGCTCAGGACAAGTTGTATCGGGTTGTGTTCAGCTTCAGGATACTCTATATGTTCCAGATCTTGTTCCGAATTTTATCTCAGTGGAACAGTTGACAGACGACAACTGTGATGTGATGTTTAACTCTGACGTCTGTATCATGCAGGATCGAAAATCAAGGAGGGTGATAGGGAAAGGTTGTAAAAGTGGTCGGTTATTCATTCAAGACGAGCTATGTAAGTCTAGGCGACAGGAAGAGGTTGCTGCGGCTGTTGGTGATTCAAAAGGTGATGGAAGCTTGGCTGAAGTATCCATTGCTAAAGGCATTTCTTTTGATTGTAATCAGACCAATTCGGCAGGAGTTTTTAATAAGTCTTGTCATGAAAACTATGTCCTGGGATATCCTGTTAAGTCAGGAGAGTTGGATATTTCTGTTCATTCGTCTACATGGTATTTGTGGCATCATCGATTGGGTCATCCCCATTCCGCGAGATTGTTAAGCATGTTTCGTACCCAGTTATTGCCTGATAAAATGAGTTCCAGTTTTACTAATCCTAACACATGTGTGAGCTGCATCGAGGCTAAAACGTCATAGTTATCTTTCCATCCTAGTGATACTGAATATGATCAGCCGTTTGATTTAAACCATAATGATCTGTGGGGGCCATCACCAGTTACATCTTGCGTGGGTTTTCAGTATTTCGATTTGTTCATCAATCATGTCACGCGTTACACGTGGATTTATTTCTTGAGAAGGAAATCCGAACTTATTACTCATGCATAGGCCTTCGTCAAAATGGTGCAGACTCAGTTTCACAGAACAGTCAAAGTTATACGTTCTGATCATGGGGGTGAATTCAGTTCTCTGCCGCTCACAGATTTCTACACTTCGCAGGGGATTCAGGTTCAACACTCTTGTCCAGGTGTCTCTCAACAGAACGGTCTTGTGGAACACAAAAATCGGCATGTCTTGGAGCTCAAGCGGGCAATCTTGTTTCACTCATGTGTTCCGACTGGTTTTTGGGTTGAGGCAGTTCGGACGGTCGTGTATCTCATAAATCATCATGTATCATCTATTGTTGGGAATCAGTCGCCCTATCAGGCTCTGTATCACAAAGCACCCAATTACTCATTCCTGCGAGTATTTGGTTGCCTCTGCTTTGTTCTCCTTCCTAAGCGCCATTGCCACAAGCTTGCTCCAAAAACAGTTCGCAGTGTTTTTTTGGGTTATAGTGATGAACACAAAGGTTATCTATGCTACGATCCGGCACGACGTCGTATGAGAATAGCTTATCATGTGATTTTCCTAGAGTAGGTTATGCATTATTCCTTGACCAAGGACGATCCTCCTCCTTCGCTGGAATTTCTTCACTCCGATCTCTTTCCCGAGGTTTGTCCAGGCCAAGATGGGGAGGCGCTGCAGGTAGAGGGACCAGAGGGAAATGGACATCAACATGACACTTCTCCGCCACACACTCCATCCATTCATTCTAGTTCCAGTTCTTCTTCCGATGCATCGCTTGGGACATCCTCTTCTTCATCTAGAGATGGGCCTCCTTTGTCTCTCGCCTCGTCGTCGGGCTCCGCAACCAGCTCCAACATGTCGCACGCTAATGAGGACTCAGCTGGGTTAGGGGGTGAGTTGGGTAATAACCAACCGAGTCCTCTATCCCCCTCCACCTCTTCCTCGACGTTCCGACAGGATAAACAAGGGAACTCGACCAGTGTGGTTACTTGATTAATTATGATGTGGGATTCTCAGCTGAGGCTTTCCCTATACCCTCGCATTATCGATTTGGTAAGGGACATCCTCAATGGGTAGAGGCAATGCAAGTAGAAACAAATGCGTTAGAAGAAAATCACACTTGGGAAATCGTTCCGCGGATGTCAGTAATTGGTTTTAAATGGGTGTATAATGTCAAGATCAGGCCGGATGGAACACTAGAGAGATTCAAAGCTCGTGTGGTTGCCCAGGGATTTCGACAGGAATTTGGAATTGACTATGACGAGACCTTTGCCCCTGTTGCGAAGATGGCCACAGTTCGAAGTCTCCTAGCTCTTGCTGCTACGTGAGAATGGCCCCTAGTCCAGTTTGACGTTTAGAACGCCTTTCTTCATGGATATTTGAAGGAGACTATCTACATGGAACCGCCACCAGGGTATAAGAAGGTTGGACCTGGCATGGTGTGTAAGATTTTTCGATCTCTTTACGGATTGAAGCAGGCTCCACGTGCTTGGTTCGAAAAATTCCATGGGACGATACTGCAGGCTGGTTTTCAACAGAGTCATAGTGATCCTTCACTTTTCATCCGTAAGACAGCTCTTGGGATTGTTGCTCTTCTCTTATATGTCGACGATATGATCGTGACAGGAGATGATTAGGAAGGGATAAAGGAAATCACAAGCACTCTTAATCAGACATTTAATCTTAAGGAACTGGATGAAGTCTCTTACTTTCTTAGCCTAGAAGTCAAACGTTCAGAACATGGACTATTTGTATGTCAATGAAAGTACATCTCAGATTTGTTAGCCTCGACACAGTTCGAAGACTGCAGACCGTGTTCCACTCCAATGGAACAAAACCTGAAGCTGAGCAAAGATGATGGAGAGTTGTTAGCCGATCAATCCTTCTATCGCAGTGTAGTGGGGAGCTTAATTTATCTGACACATACTCGGCCGGATATCTCGTACGTAGTACAAGTTGTTAGTCAGTTTTTGGGAGTAGCAAGAATGACTCACTTGGATGCAGTGAACAAGTTGCTTCGTTATCTTAGACATACTAGTGATGTCGGCTTGTTCTTTCCAGCTTGAGGAGAATCAAAGATAGAAGCCTTCGCAGATGCTGACTATGTCGGATGTTTGGACACTAGGCGATCAACTTCTGGGTGGTGTATAAAGTTTGGAAATGCATCTGTGTCGTGGCGGTGCAGGAAGCAGGGCAAAGTTTCAAAGTTCTCAATAGAAGCGGAATATAGATCAATGTCCGAAGCTAGCTCCAAGATGGTCTGGCTGTATAGGTTGTTTGAAGAATTGGGAGTTAAGTGCCAGAACCCTATGGTATTGCATGGTGACAAAAACAAGCGCAATACAGATCGCAATTAATCCAGTGCTGCATGATCGAACTAAACATATCGAGGTGCATGTCCACTACATAAGACAACTCATAGCTAAAGGACTAGTTCAGCTTCGGTACCTACGCACAGATGAGCAGCCAGCAGATCTGTTGACTAAGGTTGTGGCCTCGAGCAAACATTGGTATCTTTCTTCCAAATTGATGTTAAGAACCCAACATCAGTTTTAGGGAGGGTGATAAATATATGAGGATCATTATGTAAATAACCGACATATAAGGTTATGTAGTTAGGGTTTGATGTGAGCAAACCTATATAAACTATTGTACCTGTACGTGAGAAATTAAGCCGACTAATAAGAACTAAAAACTGAGAGGGAGATCCTCTCCGTGGACTAGTGTCTAACGATGATACCACGTCAAAAAAGTCTCTGCGTATTTCAATTTCTGTTAGCCAAATTGACAGTTTTCACTATTGAAGAACCTATCAAGCCAGTGAGCAAAGCATAGGGGGATTACTATGCAACATTGACATGGATTGAGGAGCAAAGCATAACTTCGTCAGAGGGCTTTGATTTCCCCCTTCTCCAGTTCTCCCATGGGGCCTTCGATATTGTTCTTCGCCTCTTTCCTCCTCCCTGCCGACCTCATGATGCGCTGATGTCGCCTTTCTATAATATCTCCTCGAAGCAGCCTCCTTCATCCTTTCCAATCTCCAATTGCAGACGACCCGGAAATCTGGGAAGAGAGGCTTCGATTTGACTCTGAAGTAGGTCAACTCGAAATCAACAGCCCGTCGTAGTGATTGTCGAAGTGAGATTATTCCGATCAATCGTTTCTCGATTTCAATCACGGACGACCATGTTATATGGCTGGCCACTCATCCTTTTGTTTCTGCAAAGAGTCTTGGATTTGGCTCCAAGAAAGTCGATTCCATAGAGCAGAAATGAGGAGCAACGTGTCTTCACGGGGAAAATGGGGAAAGATAAAAGAGAGGAGAGAGAAGGCCGCAGGCAGAACCAATAAATCCCGTCCCCCAAAATGCGATAGATTTCTTCGTGGGCCTTGACAATCAGTGGCATGTTAAGAGATGCAAGAAGTCTATTTCCAAAATTGCCCCTCGGTGAAACACTCTGGAGACAGGATTTCTGAAATGGGGTCCTGTTTTTTCCTTCCTGCTATTATAAGCTTAGTTTGGCCCTGCTGTAGCTTTTGCAGAAGCAGCTTCTGGCTCGAGTTTTTAGATAAGTACTTTTAAAAAAAAGCAGTTGGGTGTTTGGCTGTAAAACTATTAGAAATGCTTTTTAATATAAGAGGTTGTGTAAAATGAATATAAAGGACTTACAATATAAAATATGAATAAAAATTATAAAAAATAAAAAGTCGTCAAAATGGATCTTGTTAGATTTCTTTTATATTAAATAATGTGATTTTATAATTTATTTTATTTTTAAAATGATATAAATTAAGGAAAATTATATTTTCTGAAATAAAATTAAAATATGGTAAGGATAATCTTGTATTTTCAAAACAGCTTTTCGCAGAAGCTCCAAATCGGAGCTTCTGCTTTTATGTTATACAAAAGCGCTTTTCGGCTTTTCAAAAGCCGAGCTTTTACAGGTGTTTAGCCCTGCTTCAGCTTTTGAACCCGAAAAGCACTTCTAAAAGCCGGGCCAAACATAGATATAGTATGTGTAGATAGATGCTGAGGGTCGGTTATGAATTTCGGATGCCCGATTCCAGAAAGTAAATGAGTGCTTTGAAATTTTTGAGACCATTATAAATTATATAAATCAGTTTTATCGCAAGTCTAAAATTAATCCTACTAGTTCACTAATTTTATGGGCTGAGATCACAAATTTTGGGAGATTCCAAACTCAATTTTTTAGAAGTGCAAGACTAAAATCACAATTCACTATAAATTTGACGGGTTGAAGCCCTTAAAATTTGTGAAGTCGTTAGAGAGTAGTGAGAGAGTAGTGCGAGAGTGCGATTTCGGTGACTGAGGGTTTCTGCGTGCTCCTCGTCGCCGGCTCCGGCATCTGCGCTGGAGCAGCTCTTCTCTTCCCCCTCTTATTATGTTCTTATGAGTGACAAGAGTGATGCGGTTTCATCACCGGCGTTAGAGGGATTGGGCAGCAATCCTCGGGGGATCCCATCGAAACCCTGGGCCTCGCTATTTGGAATCCCTGAAGCCAATCGCCTCAACTATATTCCGCCTGAAGTTGTCAATGGAGGATTGCGCATGCCAAAGGCGGTTCGGGAAGCCGAAGCGGCTCGTTGGAAGAACTTTCTTATTGGTCAATTTCTTCAAGATCCGCCACCGCTGTACGTCCTGCGTCACTGGGTCAACAAACTTTGGGTTCGGGATGGTCTGGTGAGGGTTTCATTGTTATACTATAAGATGCTATTGATTCAATTGCCTAATCAAAAGGTTTGTGAATGGATACTGGAGAATGGCCCATGGTTTTGGTTTAATAATATACTCTATCTTCGTCCTTGGGTGCCTGGTATCAGTGTTGAGGATTTGGGTAGGAAAGCTTTGCCGATTTGGGTAAATTTGGCAAATGTCCCCTTGGAATACAATGATTTCAAGGATTGAGTAGAATAGCAAGTTGGATTGGAGTGCCGCTGGGAATGGATCACACTACTCGAATGGGTGATAGACATGGATTTGCAAAGGTGCTGGTGGAGCTTACAGTTGAAAGTGAGTGCCCTGGTCATGTTCTCCTATGGCCAGATGATGATTCATCCATTCGAATTGGGGTCACTTATTGCAACCTGCCTCCAGTCTGCCAGGTTTGTCATCTATTTGGGACCTCTGGATTGTGTTCGGAGCATCAGGGTAAGAAATGAGTGGCTAAACCAGCTCAAGTGGAGTAGACAGTGAATGCTGAGAATCAGGATATTCGAATTGAAGAGGTGGCTCAGGAAACAATTGCTGATGTGCAAGTGGCTAATGTGAAAGGTAAAGAGGTGGTGGTGTATGATGATGATCCGCAGCTGACGGCCATATTTACTAGTCCTGTAGTGGTGGGAGGGGGTCTGATTGCTCCTCGGAATCTAGAGAAGTCGTTTCAAGAGGTGGCCACTTCATCCTAACCAAAGCTGCCATCTTAAGATGAATTTCAGAGAGTGGTGAATGGGGCTAAGCCTCGTGTCTGGCTTTCCCAAGATAGTTCAAAAGGCATTCTGGTCTCAAATTCATCTTTCAGTATGCTGGGGAAAATTGGTGATAGGGAAGAAGGTAAAGTTCAAGATGCTCCACGAAAGAAGGGAATAAAAAAGGATGTGAAGAAGGGTGGGGAGAAACCCCCTACTTTGAAATGATTGTGCTCTTCTGGAATGTCCCCTTGGAGTATGATGATTTTAATCACTGAATTGGGGAGATGGAGTTGGTGGATTACAGAACTACAGGGCCGCAATTCACATGGACTAACAGGCAGGCTAATCAACCTATTGCTAGAAGATTGGATAGAGGTCTGGTTAATCTTGAGTGGATTGAGAATTTTAAGAATTGCACCATGGAAGATCTCCCTTCACAGTTTTCATATCATTGTGGAATTCAAGTCTGTACAGTTGCCCCGATAAAGTCCCTACCTAAACCTTTTCGATATTTTGAATTCTGAGCTGATCATCCAAGTTTCTTGGATATAGTGGCTGAGGCTTGGAGTAGTGAGGTGTTGGGGAATCCTTTGCAGGTCATTCAGGGGAAGTTGACAAGGGTAAAGCAAGCTCTCAAAAAATTCAACAAAGAAATTTATGGTAACTTGCAGGATAAGGTTACAGAGGCTGAGGTTGAGTTGATAAGGGTTCAGGAGAAGGCTTATTCAGATCCCACCACAGAGCATTTCGAGGCTGTTACACTAGCCAGAGACCAGTATGATCATATATCTCGGGCATATGAAAGTTTTGGCTGGCAAAAATACAGGGTGTCTTGGTTATCGGTTGGGGATCAGAGTTCTCACTTCTTTCACCAGGCTGTCAAGATTCACAACTCAAAAAGGGTTATCAGGAAGTTGGTTAAAGAATCAGGTGAGGAACTGTTTCAATCTGATCAGATTGTTGAGGAAGTTATTTGGTTTTATAAAAAGCTGTTGCGGGAGACAAATTTGGAAATAAAACCATAGAAGGAAGAGATATCTCAACTGATTCGGCATCATATTCCAGTCCCTGAGTGTGAGAATCTTATCAAAGATATCACAGCATAAGAGGTCAGAAGAGTGGTCTTTAGCCTGAATGCACAAAAGGCTCCAGGCCCGGATGGCTTCTCTGCTGGCTTCTACAAGAAAGCTTGTGAATGGCGATGATGTGACTAGAGGGGTTATCTACTTCTTTCAAACAGGTAATCTCCCTAGTGGAATCAATGCTACTGCTGTTTCCTTAGTTCCTAAAGTTTTGAATGCTGACACCTTGAAGAATTTTAGACCTATCTCATGTATAAATCTTTTATACAAGATAATGGCTAAGATTCTGGCTAGGAGGATTAGTGAGGTTATGCCTCTGATTATTAGTCCTAATCAATCAACTTTTGTTAAGGGTAGGAGCATCATGGACAAATATTGATGGCTCAAGAGTTGGTTAGTGGTTACAAGAGAAGTGCATTGTCCTCTAGGTGTGCAATAAAAATAGACATTATGAAAGCATTTGACTCAGTTAGTTGGAGCTACATGTTTCATATGATGATTGCCATGGGATTTCCTGCTCAGTTTATGAAATGGATAAGGGCTTGCTTGCAAACTGCTCATTACAGTATCAATATCAATTGAGGGCTTTGTGGTTTCTTTAGGGCTAGGAAGGGAGTCCGTCAAGGTGATCCATTATCGCCGTACTTATTTACTATTGCCATGGAGGGCCTCTCTTCCATGTTAATAGCTGCAAGTCAATTAGAGAGGATCCCTTACCACCCTCAGTGTCGAAGGATTGGGTTAAATCATATGTGTTTTGCTGAAAATGTTCTTGTTTTTACCACTGGCTCGACTCAAGCAATTCTTCAGGTAAAAGATGTGTTACAACAATTTTATAAGCTATCAGGGCTCAACTGTAATCCTGCTAAATGTGAAGTCTACTTTGGGAGTGAATCTGTTAAATATAAGAACAATGCTCTTTCCCTATCGGGTTTCAAAGAGGGTCTGTTGCCTGTTAGGTATTTGGGGCTTCCATTGATGACTGGAAAGCTGTCATCAAAGGAGGTGGACATTCTAGTGGAAAAGATCACAAAACGAATTAAATCTTGGAGGGCAAGGAAGCTGACATATGCTGGAAGGCTGCAGCTAGTGAATTCAGTCTTGCTGGGGGTTGTTCAATACTGGATGCAATTATTTGTACTCCCTAAAACAGCTCTGAAAAGGATACAACAGGTATGCTCTCAGTTCCTCTGGCATGGGGCTGATACTGGGAAGGCCAAAGTAGCATGGGAATCTATGGATTTACCAAAGAAAGAGGGTGGACTCGGGGTCAAAGATCTACTGGCTTGGAACCAAGCCTGTTCTATTCGGATGCTTTGGCTATTCTTAATGAAAGCAGGTACTTTATGGGTTGCATGGATGCATGAGTATAAATGCAGGCAGGGGGGTCTTTGGAGTTTGAGGGTGCAATGCAGTAGCTCTTGGACTTGGAGAAGGCTGCTTAATTTAAGGGACATCATTTTGCCATGGATCACTCAACAAGGGGATGTCATCTACTGGGATTCACAGGAAATGCTAGTCTACTCTGTTCGTAGGGTATGGGGAAACTCTCAGAAGAAAAGCACCTGTAGTCTCATGGTATAAGCTTGTTTGGGATAGTTGTTGCCCTCCGAGATACAGCCTGATTGCTTGGTTGATTATGAGAAATGCCATAGTTACCAGGGATAAACTATTGAAATGGGGTAAAATAAATTATGCATCATGTCCTTTGTGCGAGAAGGGAGTTGAGAATCGAGATCATTTGTTTCTCAGCTGCAGCTTCTCCCTCAGGCTTGCTGCACAGTTGAGATTCAAGTTTCTACACTATCGGAGTTGGGATGCAATGGTACAAGCTTTAAATGCAGAAATATACAGGGACGTGAAAGTTGGGAGATGGCATGCTTTGGTGTGGTGTTTGATAGTAGCCTTCGTTTGGAAGGAGAGATGCAAAGTGGTCCATGGATTGACCAGACAAGACCCAGAAAGAGTAGCTGATCAGTTCCAGGCAGATTTGCAGTTCCTAGCATGTGGAAATAGAGGATTGCGTGATGCTCTTACCAAACTACATTACTTATAGGTTTTGTTTTTGTTTTTGCTGAGTTTGTAAGTAGCTGATATATAGGAGAAGGTAGAGGGACGAACACATGAGGATATTTTATGTTCCCATTTCGTTGTATCGGCTTTTCTTGGGAATAAAAAAACTGATTCAACGAAGAAGAAAAAAAATTTGTGAAGTCCTGGACCTAATGGCACAAGCGCCTCAGTGCCTGCCCTGATTACACTATTTAATATTATATTATGCTGGTTATTTACAATTAACGACGAGTTGGTTTATACCAAGGTTGTCAAACCGGGTTAAGTCATTCGGCCGGTTTGACAAGGGGTTTGGGGTTTAATGGTCGGATCGGAGTTCAACCGGGTTAAGCCGGTTTTGACAAGATATGTTGGAGAGTCATTGACACCTAATAAAATAAGAGTTGAAACAACAACCCAACCTCACTTCCACTGCCGATGAATTCCACCTCCTTTTATCAAATGACCACACAATTTGCACTTGTTCCAAATCTTTCCATCTTTAGTGCGAATTTCCTCAGCATAGCCCCAAGCAAATTGAGATCAAATCAACGCAAATTCTCACGGAGGAAAGCTCAATTGGGCAAGGAAATGCATCAGAACCCGAACAAGACATCAAAAACCCTAGCGAATTGGGGAAAGTGAGACCAGCCAGCCACCTACCTAGTCTTGAGCTGAGAGAGCAAACCGGAGCTCTCGCCGCGGATCTCGACGCACAGCGCGAAGAAGGAAAGAAACGACAGAAACCCACCGGGGAGGAGAAGAGACGGAGGGAGAGAGAACATGATGCAGGCGATGAACAGCACCACCACGGCCCTCTCGCCGGTAAGCAGCGGCGGGGCAGAGACGGACGTCATGGAAGATCGCGGGAGACGCTGATCGGTCGTTACTTACATGGAATGGGAAATCTGGAGACTGGAATCGTTGAGGTATACGAGGGGAGCGCCGACGGCGGGCGGCTGCTGTGCTGGGGCAGGTGTTCGCTGCTCTGCTGGCTGGGCTCGACGAGGGAGGAGGTTTGGTAACGGCGGCAGCGATAGATAGGGTAATGGTTATTGAAGTTGGAAGCAACGAGCCAAAACGACGCCATTTTCCTCAAAACCGGTAGCCGGATCAGTCCGGTCAGACCCCGGTTTCCCCCAGTTTTGACCGGTTTTGACCGGCTACTGGCCAGCTCTAATTATGGTTGGTTCTGGCCCTTTTAGTGTCCGGTTCCGGCCAGACCCGGTTCGATCGGCCGGTTCGACCCCGGTTTGACAACCATGGTTTATACTAAACTGTTGATACATAACTCATCATCAATTTTGCTACTTTAGCATTATTTAGTTACGTACGTGGAACACTAAGAGCGAACTGGAAAATTAAACCCTACCCTCTCCTCAGTGAGCAAAGCAACTAAAAATAGAGATGAAAAAAATCTTGATTTACATAGTACTTAATAATACATCTATACTCAATGCAGGCAATAATAATTTGAATTACCTCCACATCACGGAGAGTCACTTATAATAAAAACATCTTAACAAACAATTAATCGCATCAGGTTAAAACAAAAGTTCCCTCAATCGTCCAAACTCATTACAAATTAACTAATCACTTAGTTGTCGTCACTCGGAGAAGTGGATGCGTCCCTCGCCGCCGCTGTAAACGCCGGCATAGAATAAGAATGCGGCGAAGATGAAGACGAAGAAGAAGAAGGAGCCTGAAACACGAGGCCGCTCCCCGCCGCCGACTGACCGTGATGAGACAACGAACCCGTTCTCGACAGCGACGTCGCCGAAGACGGCGCCGTATTAGCATCACCACTAGCTTTCACGTTCATCAAGTAGCTCGGCTGATCTCCACCTCCCCGTGACGACGACGTCACGACCTTACTACTACTACTACTATTATTGTTCTTACCGATGATGGAAGTGAGGGCTGCGGCGAGGGCCGACTGGAAACTGGGGTCGGCGGTGATCGCCTTGGTCGCGGCGGCCACCATCGTGCTATCCGCCAACACGGACTGATTATGACGAGGAGAAGAGCTACTTGGGCCTGCCGCTGGGCCGGACATCCGGTAATGGGCTCCACTCAGCGGCCCATTACCACTCCGGCCTACGTGGCCGATGCCGTAGTTGAGTATTCCAGCGCCGTTGTTCAACCCCCACGTGGCGGGCTCTGAGCCGAAGTTGAGGCTGCTGGCGGGGCCGAATCTGGAGGAGAATCTGGCGTAGTTTGAGTGAGACGACGAGGAGTGAGGTTGTGATGATGACGTGTTCAAGATGTTGTTGTTGTTGGTGGTGGAGGTGAGGTCGAGGGTTATTGTAGGGTAGGATGGTGATGGGGAATATGTTGAGTTGTTGTTGGTGGTGTAGTTGTTATTGTTGTTACTGAAGTAGAAGGGTGGTCTTGATGATATTGAGTTCATGTTGTTGTCGGAGACGTACATGTTGAGCCCGTGGAGGTTTCCGGGGACGGCGGCGGTGGATGAGGAGGAGGAGGAGCCGGAGAGGAGCATGGAGGCGGCGGCGGAGGTGGTGGAGGCCATGGTTGTGGCGGACATTGGGAGTGGGTGGTTGTGGTTACCTTCGTAGGTTGTGATGAGAATGGACATGTCGTCTGCACATCTTTGGACCTGTCATCGTACCATTACCAAGTAAATAGGTGTAGTCAACTGTATACATGGATGTTTTATTGGAAGAATTCCCGGAATACCGTAAAAATTAAACATAATTTCTATAATACATAAGATTTATAAAATTTTCCCAAATTATCCAAATTTCAAAGGGTTTTAGTGTCATAAACTCGAACAACAAGCCAGTTCGACGAAGAAGAACTCGAACTAAGACCACATCGAGTTCCTAAAACTCGATCAACAATAGTTCGATTTTGGAAAAATCGATCAAGGTAGATCGACGACAAAGGACTCGATCAAACTAGATCGAATTTGGACAACTCGATCCAGTAAGATCGATGCCAACAAACTCGATCAAGTAAAACGACTTTAGAAGCCTCGATCCATATCTGCACTAGATCGATGCCTTAAAACTCGAACAACATTAACCGATTCCTATGGCCTCGAACCACTAGTCAATTATACAAAGTCACTTTCCTCCGACATGCTTCAGGATAGGGTTGCAGGGATAAGATTCTTTGTTGCAATAGATCGAGTTCTAGGGACTTGAACTAGTGTAGTTCGATTATACTGGACTCGAACCACTGCTCAATCATTCTATCCAGTCGCTTTCGGTCCGACATGCTCTAGAATAGGGTGCAGGGGTAAAATTATTGGTTGCCCTTGATCTAGTTTAATGGACTCGAACGACTATATTTCAAGTTTTTTTGCCTCGAACCACTGCATCAGTTTACGAGGATAAAAAGCAATCGCTTAGCACATTTAAAAAAAGGAAAGTACATGAGGAAGTGCTTACCGGATCTGCCGCCCAAACACTTTCAGACCGATGGAAAGATTGCTCATCCAACAAATCGGTTTCTCGCGGTCCGCCTTGAATGTATAATCTAGGATCGTAAATACTCGGATCCATTTCGGCAATTTTGAGTGATAGAAGTACCAAACTCAAGAAAACAAATATGATGCGGAAGATCGGGCTTAGCCGCAACTACAGAGCATATTTTTTTCTTCAAGAGTGGTGGGAGGAAGAGAGGAAGAAGAATGGAGTGGTGTGAGTTTTGGCGGAATGGAAGGGGGTATTTATAGGTTCTGTGGGAGCGTGGATCGAGTTTACGTCACTCGAACCAGTGCATCGATTTTGGGGCACTCGATCCGCGTCAAAAGCAGGTCGAGGGAAGGTACATCGAACGACTCAGATCGAGTTTAGGGTACTCGATCGACGGTAGTGCGCGCCTGACGTCATCGATCCGCGTCAATCTGATCGATTACCACAGACTCGATCTACTATCATCGAGTTTCTCCCACTCGATCCGCGTCATCACTGCTTCGCGGGTTTGGCAATCGAACGGCCTAGATCGCTTCCCGGTACATCGATCTAGGGTGGAGCGCTGCCCAGGTCATCGATCCAGGTCGGTCTGATCGAGTCTTCTATCCTCGATCTACCAAAATCGAGCTTAATAAGCTTGATCCGTGTCGTCCTGTGCCAACCAATCGTGGCCCTTACGCTCGATGCACGTGGATCGATGGATTGGCAGTCGATCCGGTACTAGTTCGAGTTTGTTGAACTCAAACCATGCCAAACTTTGATAGTTTGGGAATTTTTTATAAAAGTCATGTATTCTGGAAATTATTTTTAATTATTATTGTATTTAGAGAATTAATCCTGTTTTGTTTCACACATGTCTGTACAATGTATATAGGTACGTACCTGCTTCCTGACAGGGCAAGAGGGTCCGACGGTGCAACGGTAGTAAGCTCTAGGGCATGGGTTCCCTTTGGCTATCTTCTGGCCGTATTTCCTCCATTGGCAGCCATCATTCATCTGCATGTACATATTCAAAGTAATAAAAGGTTACAAAAATTTGTGTTTTACCGCATATGATATGAGTAGGGATGGAAAAAAAATATCCATATTCATGGATATCAGTTCGAATCTAATCTAATTGAGTAGGGTGAAACATAAACTAGAAGAATTTTTTGTGTGTATGAGCAAAATCCCAAATTTGAATATTACGGATACTGAGTGGGTATGATTTTCTCACTATGAATCCGCAGACTGCCCTATTATACATATATAAGTATGTAGTTTATTCAGAAATGATTATTTTTTTCACGATCGATATTTACTATACATATATAATATTTTCATGAAATTGTCTTTCTATTTAACTTATTTTCTTTGTTCTACCTAGTGATCGATTATGTTATACTTGTCAACTTATATAATGCTAGTATACGTGTAACCTTTAACTTGTTTACGAAGTTACGAAGAAAAATTATTACCCATAGATACTTGAAACTCTATCAGGTATGAGTAAAATTTTGATTTTCTACCTGATTCTTATGTGTGTAACAGTATAAGATAAAACCCAAACTACTTTCAATAGCGTAATAGAATACGCACTATTCATACCCAACCAGATCAGTTTCCATCCCCAGATACGAGTCATACCAACCTCTGATATGATCACATTTAGCACCGCGTAATTCATATAAAATATGATAAGACTAGGTTTTGCAATTCTCGTATTCTTTTCTCTTTAAATAAAATCCTACCTATAACCAGTGGGATAAAAAAAAAGTGAAGCAGTACATATTGACCTGTTAATAATGAAATATATTAAATTAATTCATTTCAATAATGCAAATTCCCATTGTTGACCCCTAAATGCATTCCTTTCTATACACAACTAGATGATCAGCAGGCAGAATTTCAATTTACTAATTAAACCAAATGCATGCACCAAAATGAAGTAAGAATTAGCAGACACAGACATCAGAGAAATGGACAATATATAAACTAACTAACCGTAGGGGTATCGCATCTAGCCCTGACGGAGACTCGAGCTTTCTTCGCCGGATTCTGCTGCTGCGAACCTTGTTCGTCCCCAGTACTCCTCGCCGTCTTATTACTATTACCATCGCCAGCTTTCGCAGGCGAGCCATCACGAGCCGCCTCTCCGCCGCCAGCTGCACCCAATTCTTCCTTTCCCATCACAGCAGGCTTTGGCTGCTCTTGGAACCTGCAGTAGTCCAGCGTGAGAGAGAGGCACGACTCCAGCTTGACGACGTCCACGTTGGCGCTGCTGGTCCTTTTCAGCTCGCGGCTCGGAGATCTTCCCAGGCTGAGGGAGACGAGGTCGTGCTCCTCGTCGTCGTCGTCTTCTTCATTGTCACCCTTGGAGTACTGCTGCTGCGAAGGATTGTCTTGTTGATTATTATTCATGATCTCGTGGAATCTCGTCTGCAGCGATCTGTACTCCTTCATTATCTGTTCCAAGTAGAGCTTCAGCCTTCGGTTCTCCTCCATCACTTCTGCCATTTCGGCTCTTGTTGCCTCTAGTTCTGCTGCTTTCTAAAAACACACAAATATATATATATATATAATAATCAAGAATCAAGAGTAAACATGTACGTACCCTAGTTAGTGTACCCAAACCCAAAAACCATAAGCACAAGTTGGGATTTAATAAAATCGAGAATACTTAATTAGGAGCTTATATAATTAAACAAATGTTTGCAGAAGTTAATGACATGTGTGAGGTATGACCTTCTGCCCCTCTAAATCGGGATTAATAAAAAAAAAAAAAAAGGGAAGTCTTGGTATTGCAGAAAGGCAGCTGCTGCCAAATTAAAAACAAATGGTGTGTGATGATATTATATTTGTGTGTAGTTTACCTGTTTCTTAAGGGTTGCAGCAGATGGTTTTGAAGAATCTGCTGCTGCTGCTGCATCCATGGCGCTACTACTGGATCTCTCCTTATTGCTGCCACTGGCTCCCTGCATGAGTGGCAAATTAAGATAAACAGGAGACACAAAAAGGGAAATTTAACAAGTAATAGAGAGGGGTATAGCTAGGTAGATCTGGAATAAATAAAGGAGATGCAGATCTGGTAGCAATATATAAGCTTAACTAGTTTATAATAAGGGTAATGATCAAGAGAAGCGAAGGAACAGCCAATCAGTAAATCTGTAGCAATGTCTTATTAGGGGGGAGAAGAAACGGTCAGGAAAAGTTAGTCAAGAGATGGGCAGAGTAATTAGAGGCTGGAATTTAATTTTCTAGAAGAAGAAGAGAGTTGGAAACAGTTGGGAGGAGAAAATTAAGATGGTCAATCCATAAACACACTGTACGTGGACCGTCCAATCTAGCTAGATTTTTCCTTCTTCTTCCAATTAATACAGTACATGAGTCTCTAGCTAGGACTCTCTCTCTACATGGAGTTTTCTAGAATGGAGAAAGATCGAGAACAGCTGCCTTGCTTTCTCATGGATTCAATCCAAGGAAAAACAAAGAAGAGGGAGAGATCCATGCATGAAAAATCCCTGACAAAACATAGTATAGTTTACTACCTGTGGAGGATGAGAAGGAGATACAGAAGCATCATCATCAGGTGATGGATTGCGGGTTCGATCTTCTTCTTCGTCTTCTTGTTTCACCATCTCATCATCATCATCAGGAGCAGCAGCAGCAGCAGCAGAAGAAGAAGAGAAACATCTTGTCTTCAATGGAGCCTCCTCCATAGATATGATCGATATCTGTCTTTGTTTCTTCTCGTCTCTCTTTTTTCTTTCTTTCTTATTAGTCAAACCATATATGCTTTTCTTGGTAAGCTGTGTCTGGTGGTACATATGATCTAATAATCCTGCCGTTATTTCCCTCTTTTATGTACACACATAAGCTAGCTAGAAATTTGAAGAGATATTAAGCTGCTGTACGCATGCAGTAGTATTTGACTCGTCCTTAAATGCAACCCAAAGAGACAATATATATATATATATATTTGAAAACAAGTAGAAGGGAAAAGAAAAGGAAGTCGCCGAATGTATATAATAGTAAACAAACGGGAAAAACGGACAGAGAAAATAAATAAATCATAAATATGTCAACGCTTCCTCATCAATCCCAATTTGCATGGGAGAGGGAGTTGAGAAAATGCTTTTTCTTTTTTCTTTTAATTATAAAAAGAAATAGTTCTGCAGGAAGGAGCAAATTAAGGACCGGGCCGGGCTGGGCTTGAAGAATTCAACTTCAACGCTAGGTAGCTGCATTATTATGGAATATATGGATTAATAAATTCCCAATTAAATTCTGTAAGTAGGTAGCTGATCGAGGAGATGACCCTCTGCTCTGGCCGGCTATTATTATGTTAAGTTAAACTAGATTAATTACTGATATTATGAAAGCAGAGAGAAGTGGAAGGCGGGAAACTCGGTTACCTAATACTCCATATATAAGCGAGATTAGACTCCCTGTGCCTAGTTGCTTCCTGCTGATAATTTGAATTTGATGATGCTGCTGCTGCTCGTGGCTTGGTAGACTTTTTCATATAAATATCTATTTGTCTGCAATGCAATTGGGTCTTCATTTTTTGTTTTTGTTTTTTGGTTGGAGGGTTGATTCCGGCCGCCGTGCTTTGCTTTGAAGTTTCGTACGTTACACAGGTCGTAAGGGGCCACGAACTGTGACCTAATTTTCTCCTCTGCTCTCTGGGCTTTCTTTTCTTTTTCTCCATTTCCGTTTCATTACGGAGCTTATTTATTGGCTTAGAAAAACATATTAATTAATTAATGGGATTGCATCTCAGACTTTTAAGTCTGCCTTACGTTCTTACACGCCATAACAATAAATAAAATTAATAATATAATAATAATATTCGAGGTCAACCTCATTGGCCAGCTTCTACAACTTAGTCTTACCCTCCGGTGACCGCAGCCTTTTTTCCCCTCCCCTCCGTCTCTCCGCCTTAGGGGCCGGCTTATACAAAAATGGCGACGTTACGTCGTTGGACGGTGGATTGATGGATGGAGGTCAAACGTTTGTGGTACAGATATGGACGGATAAGAATTAAAGATTCTCGTCTCCATTTCAACCGCCCCATGCTGTTTGACCTTCACAAGACACAGATGCTGCTGTCGATGAGTATTGCTTTTGACTTTCCTACTCCTTTTTTCTCCCTCAATTTCTTTTGGGTATCTCTTGGCCCAAAACTTTGATTCAGAGTGTAAAATTGTGAATTCATGTAGGTCCAACAAATGGCCTAACTAGAGTTAAAAGTATATTGGGCTTTGAAACAGCACTTCAGCCCAACTGGTTTCCAGAATCCAGATTCCAGACCAACCTCGGCTCTGACTCTGAGGGTGCAAATGCAATAATGAATTTCTTTAAATCTCCTCAACTTTAGCGGAGATGATTTCCATTTTCCATGGAAAAGTTTGTTCCAAACATAGAAAATTAGTATCATATATATTTTTTGTCATTCCAATCAGGTTCTGCAAAAGCATTCTGAGAACTCATGTATTGATAGCCAGCGACATAATGGAAAATACTCGAATCAAATTTTGCATGGAGGAGGTTGGAATTGATTTAGTTTCCTCCACTCACATCCTCATAGTCTTACTAGCCTCGATACCAAAATTAAGTCGTGTTAATTTTACATAAAACCCCCCAGGTTTAAATGAAAATTACATCATTTCGCTCTGTTGTCTTCTCTTGCCAATTGAAGGAGTACTTTCCATTTCAACCAGGTTCGCTAATTCTTAATCCACCCAAGTTAAGCTCAAAATGAATTGAAGGTTGAAAGTGAATGCTTCCACACAGAACCTATCATAACAAACATATGAACAATTATGTACACCGTAAGATTTTGTTTGGAAAATTGGAGTCATAATAAATTTAGATTGTAAACAATATAAATATTCGAATTTTTAAATTTGTTGAAAAATATTTAAAATCTTCCGATTGTGGTAAATATGATTGTTAACATTCAATGAAAAATAAAGATTCCAAATTTTTATAAAATTACATATGTACACTTAACCAAAAGAATATATTGCTCACCAAAAAGAAAACAAAAAGAATATAGACATATTGGATTTTATTGATAATTTTTTTTTGTGTAATGATAAATATAGAAAGAAATACGTAAGGAAACACAAATCTCATAAATTAAGATAATATATCATTCGGATTACAAGAGATTTGATATTCCTAACTTTTAGAAATTTTAAAATCTCTAAAATAAAATCCACCATACAAAAAATAGTAAAAAGAATCATAAAAAATAATAACAAAACATAGATTTCTACGAAAATATAAATTCAATAATTCATAACGCAAATTATTTTCTCCAAACCACCTTGTTTATCCCTTCCGAAGACAAACAGTTTGGGATTCCCATAATTGGGTGGTTTTTGAAGGCAAACAGTTTGGGATCCCGGCCTTGATGAGGCAATTCCATCAACAACTCCAGGAGTGGATTGGATTACCCCGGGATTTGCCTGTTCAGCAGGTACATCCGTTGTCCCCTATTGTTGATGCAAACGGGGTACCTTAGCAATCTGTATGTGGGATGGGGTAGTGCGGTTGGGTTCTCATGCGGCAGGGGGATGGTTATCCTCAATTCTGCTAGAGAGATAATCCTTGCGCAGGGGGTTCATTTCCCGTTAATTAGTGATCCGATGATGGTGGAAGCTTTGGCCCTCCGGGAGGCGTGTGCCTGGTGCTTGAGAAATGGGTTCAATGTCAAGAGGTTTGAAGGGATGCCCAGGTGATAATTGAGAAGATTCTCCGATGGGATGCTCGAGATAATCGTATAGGGGCGATTTTGGAAGAGATTATCAATGTGTTTGCTTCGAATGTAGGGTTCACTGTACGATTTGTAGGTCGACGTAACAATAGGGTAGCTCACTTGGTAGCTAGACATGCCCTTTCTTTGTTCCCGACTACATGTCGCTTGTTTGATTTCCAGGCCTGGCTGCTTTCTAGGATGTAAGGATCTATTGATTTCAATCTATTGATTATCTTTTGTAAAAAAAAAAAAAAATCCCTTCCGAAGACGTTCAACCCTACTGAACAATAGCCCACTCACTCAGTACACTAACAGCCAACCCGAATGATTAAGGGGTCGTTTGTTTGATGGATTTGGGACTCAAATCCCAAGCATGATGGATTTTAGCCAAGTCCATTGTTTGTTGTCAGGTGTAAAATTCGTGGGGTCCACGAATTTGTTCCCTTTTTATGATTAAAATCCATGGACCCCACGAACTTGTAAATCCCACATATTGGGGTGGGATTTGTAAATCCTTGATAGCTAGTTATATTTATAGCAAATCCATCATAATTATATCATCAAATCTATCATGCAAACAATAGACTCTTCAAATACATGATGGTACAAATCCCTCATAAATCTAAAGGTTTTTTAGCCAAAATCCTATTTTTCAAATCCAACAAGACGATACCTAAATCAAACGGGGTGGTCAATAGAAAATTAGAAATCACATACAAATCCTTTTGTTTCTTTGTTTCATTCACAAGAAAGAACACTCGATCAATCACTCCACTGATGTGTCTGTGACGCGGCTACCACTCTCAGCCCATCTGCGATTCACAGAAAGCGACAAACCCTATATTGGGACCTGAGATGGCCACCACATCATGATGAATCTCCTTTACCTACCAATTCCCATTCGTTCAAAGTGCAAATCCAACTCACCCTGTTCTTCTTAGTTACGGAAGCTGAAGCTCTCTCAAACTTGCGAAACCCAGAGATTATTTTCAATCGGCAACCCGAGATCATGTACAGGTCTGCGGTTGCCGCCAGGCTGCTGAGAGGTGTAGCCGCTACCCACAACGGTTCGGGCTCGCTAAGTTCGTTCCATCGTTCTAGGTATAGTGAGGAACGATTTCCTTTTCTTGGTATTGATTTTTTTTTTTTTTAATCATTTGGTCATCTGGGTTCGTCTTCCGTTTGCGGAAAATTTAGTGCATTTGTTGGGTTTATGTATTATATTGGGGTTTCTTGTTTGATTGCTTTGGCTTCCGTGGCAGGCGATTTGCTCATTCTTTGCCCTTCGCAACCGTAGATGCTGAAGAGCTATCGGGTGCTCGACCAGCTGAAGTACAGAACTTGGGTAGGTTTTGGGGATCGCTGCTTCACTTAAATGTAGAAATGCTGATTAACTTACCGAGATCCACCTAGATATTAAAATGGCTGAGTCGTGTTTTGTGGCTGCCTTCTGTTCATCTACAGTGCAGGGGAAATGGGGAGGATCTTCCAGTTGGAACACAATAGTGGATCCCTTAAATGGGGAACCATTTATCAGAGTTGCTGAAGTAGATGAGAAAGGAATCAAGGTTAGTCCTTGATGGTGTTTCTTGTTCTGCAGTATTATTTTTTCCCCGTGCTAGCTTCTGGTAAGTTGCTGAAGTAGGTGCAATACATCTCATGATTGTTGGTCGGATTGTCTGCGCAGCCATTTGTGGAGAGCTTGTCCAAGTGCCCTAAACATGGACTTCACAATCCTTTTAAGTCGCCTGAGAGGTTTGAGTTGATTCCTCAAACCCTTAAAGTTGTTATTTGTTTGATAGTGTCTAATTCCCTTTGCTGGTTTGGGCAGGTATCTTCTGTATGGGAACATTTCCTCGAATGTAGGGCACATGCTTTCATTGCCGAACGTAAGCATATTTGTGGAACTTCGATGATAACATTCTCATGGTTATCAGGTCTTGGTTGAACTTTATATATTGTTCTTCAGACGACCAACTTAATTTGAATGGTCGTATATCCCTATGATTTTCAGGTTTCTGTTTTCTTCGCAAGATTAATACAAAGAGTTTCCCCGAAGAGTTACCAGCAAGCTCTTGCTGAAGTTCAAGTCACACAGAAGTTTTTTGAGAATTTTTCCGGCGATCAGGTTGACCATCATCATTATACTCGAGACTTACCAATTTCATCATTGTAGATTAACAAGATTATTGTATTTTGTGAATAGGATGAAAAGTAACAGTAGATGGAACTGTTTGACTGAATATATGATTGACTAAGCTAGTGCTTCAATAAAGATCATTCCTTCGATCAATCTCCTGTATGACATATTTCTTGTACAGCAATATGTGGCTTTTACACGCTCTGAAATTTACGCGTTTCTGTGATTTCACATTAGTTTCTGTGCGCATTTAACTTCTGTGTTCTGTTTATTGCTGACCGTTTCCTCTTTCAAACCTTGTGAATTTGCTAGGTTCGTTTCTTGGCAAGGTCGTTTGGGGTTCCAGGAAATCATCTTGGACAGCAAAGTAATGGCTTCCGATGGCCTTATGGCCCTGTAAGTACCACTGATAAAGTGATAATTTGCAGTAGACAGTTTACAGGGACAGCCTAATTTCCTGTACTTAGGTTCTCCTTTTCTGTTTTGATGTTGTATTGGAGCTGTGCAAAACCATATATATACCACAAGTGTGGCTAGTATATGGGGAAAAAGATCTACTTCACAGGTTGTTCTATGCTCGTTTTCCAAGATCTTGAACCCTTTGATTCGTGTGAAGCTTTAAGTATCTGTAGCTGATAGCCTAAGTCGGTTGATGTTTGCTCCTTCTTGTCTGCTAAGAGAAGTACGATCGCTGTTCACAAGCATTCCTTATTTATGCAGGTTGCAATTATTACTCCTTTTAATTTCCCGCTTGAGATTCCGGTTCTTCAGTTGATGGGTGCATTATATATGGGCAATAAACCACTACTTAAGGTTGATAGCAAGGTAAGTTCTTCCTTATCATTGCATAAATTGACAATAAATCAGTAGGTTTATAGCAATTTATATGTTGAAAGTGCATTCCTGGCTTATGTTGTCTTAGCTAGACAAGCTAGAGAGAGAAGGCAGAAACCTGCTATTCACAGCTTGCTTATGCTACTGAGGATGCACAGTGAACATAAATAGCAGCAAGCTGGCATATAGTCTTCTAGGTCTGCTGGCTTGGAGGCTTTTGTCTCAAATCCTCCCACTCCTATCTGTTTTTTTTTTTTAAATCTTTTCTTTACATGCCCTTCAGATTTTTTTGAGGCTGAATATGTGGCTGATATAATAACCTACTATCAACAGGTATCCATTGTTATGGAACAAATGATGAGACTGCTTCACTATTGTGGGTTGCCTGAGGAAGATGTTGATTTTATCAACTCGGATGGGAAAACTATGAACAAGATACTAATGGAGGTTAGTTGTGCATGACTTGAATATGTCCCTTTTTCTTCCTCGTGTGTGGGTGGGAGATCACTTTCTGTTTCTTAGGCTTGGAAAGTTATGCTTATATAACCCTTTACTTTTGCTTTTATTGTTATTTCTTTCTAAATGGGACAGCTATGTAATTTTGTGTTTGATTAGAAATGGTATCATCCCTTTTGTCATCTTTGGCAGGCCAATCCACGGATGACACTGTTTACTGGTAGCTCGAGAGTTGCAGAGAAGTTGGCTGTTGACTTAAATGGTCGTGTCAAGTTGGAAGATGCTGGATTTGACTGGAAAATTCTGGGTCCTGATGTTTGTGAGGTAGAATTTCTAAGAAAGAAATATCTTTTATGGGCAATCCCTGTTCTCCGGTTTTGTGCATCATATAGCTCTTTAAGTTACTCTCCACTTTCAATTTGCTGTAGGCTGACTATGTTGCTTGGGTCTGTGACCAAGATGCCTATGCATGCAGTGGTCAGAAGTGCTCTGCCCAATCCATTCTATTCATGCACGAGGTTTGCTCCCCCTTCCTTTTCTGAACAAATGAACAGTTCTCAGCTTTCGCATTTAAATAGATGAAATTTTTGCTTCTTCCCTATTTTGTTCCACCTGGACCGTCCAAATCCACCACCGCCTTGTTACATGTTCTGGTTTTTTTATATCTCCGTTGATCTATTAAATACATGTTGCAGAACTGGGCTGGTACTCCACTTCTTTCAAAATTGAAGGAGCTTGCTGAGCGTAGAAAATTGGAAGATTTAACTGTTGGCCCTGTTCTGACTGTAAGCACAAAGAACATCTGATCATTGCTGTTCTATTTTTCCTTTGTGTTTTTTAGTAAATGCAGCTTCAGAGGCAACTCCAATTAACTCTCATTTGTTGTTGCAGGTTACCACTGAGGCGATGCTGGATCATGTGAACAAACTGCTGAACATACCCGGGGCAAAGCTGCTCTTTGGCGGGAAGGCACTGGAGAATCATTCCATTCCGTCCATATATGGTGCAGTCAAACCAACAGCCGTGTATGTCCCTCTGGAAGAAATTCTCAAGGAGGGCAACTACGAACTCGTGACAAAAGAAGTATTTGGACCGTTCCAGGTAAAATGACAACAGAATACATGAAGCTCCTTGCGTTTATGGTGAGGAGTGATTCCTGATCATTTGTAACCGAGAGAAGCAAGACTAATGATTGACTTGACTTCTGGCATCTATCTAGGTGGTGACGGAGTACAAGGAAAGTCAACTCTCCATGGTTTTGGAGGCTTTGGAGAGGATGCACGCGCATCTAACAGCTGCTGTAGTTTCAAATGATGTCCTGTTTTTGCAGGCAAGAACACTATTTATCTTTTCTCACTCTTGCATATTTGAGTTCTAAGACCGAGTTGGATTCTGCAGGAAGTTATTGGGCAGTCTGTGAATGGCACGACTTATGCTGGGCTGCGAGCAAGAACAACAGGAGCTCCACAGAACCACTGGTAAGCTCTTTTCTCGAGGTTTAGCATTACGTGAAATTTTCCACAGTAATGTGACAGTATGGTACGGAAATGGCAGGTTTGGACCGGCTGGAGACCCAAGAGGTGCTGGAATTGGAACCCCAGAAGCCATAAAACTGGTCTGGTCTTGCCACCGAGAGATCATATACGACATTGGTCCTGTGCCGCAGCAATGGGAAATTCCTCCGTCTACTTAAGAGAGAAACCCTTCATGATTTCCGCCGCTCTGCTCTAAACCGTTGAGATGTAGCTAACTGATGTATGAGAAGTAGCCAACCGTTATTGGACTACGAAGCCAATTACGTTGCCAATAAAATGAGATGTTTATGTGTTGAATTGTTCGGAGTATAGATCGTTCTTGGGACTAGTATATGATCTGGTCTTTGCCAAGAAATTGGTCCTAATCAGCATAGAACTAGATAAGAAATAGAGTAAAATGAGGTTCAAGAACCGGATCTAATCATCATAGAACTTGATAAGAAATAATGGAAAATGAGGTTCGAAGTTAATGGTAAGTGCAATTTGCTCAATCCGATTTCGATAAGGTCCTTTTTTGGTCATTTAAGGGGATGCATAAATTCGAAACTAAATGAACTGAAATTGCTCCAGTTCTATCCTCATTTTTCTATAGGTTTTACAGAATCAAAACTAAAGCAAACTATATTTACACCAATCTAATTTCATCCAAATATCAATTCGATTGTGATTCTTAATTTGAAAGGACGATCGACTCCATAGATCAAAATCAAATGAAAAAAACCGCCCATTGATTGGACCCAGACGATACCACAAAGAATGCCATTGCTAGAACTATCACTTCAGAACACAATCATGCCAAAAAAACAAATGTCAAATAGAAGCATTAACTGGTATAATAATCTCAGTAAATCAAAATTGGACTAGTTGGAATCCCAAGGGAGAATATCATGTGCCATGATACAGAAAACTCTTTCCCTCGAGTTTGTGCTCAACTATCCACACCTTACCTCAAATGCAAAAAAAAGACAGTCGTTACAAAAGACAACCTAGTTCTGCTCACCTATAGCTTCACTCCTTATTCTACTTATTGAAGTTGCTATAGAACTACAGAGTGGGGCTTCCGAGGCTAGAGAGCCAACGCAATCCTTAATTGCTTTCAGCTCTTCGTGAAACTGGGTGTGCAGTATCAAACTGGAGAAGTTCTCATCCACTACCAACCCAAGACATCTGACAATGTCCTCAAGTTTAGGAACCCAATCACAAGCTTTTAACCCTAATGCCTTAGAAGCCTTGGGACAAGGGACCACCTCAGGAAATCTTTCATATTTCTTCAACCATTTCCCCAAGTATCTTACCAAGCTCATCAACTCCCTACTGCTCAACTTACCAATCGCTGATGACATAATCACCTCATCAATATTTGAAGATGCTAGCAAGTAATGCAGGCAGAGCTCGGAAGTAGAGAAGCTATCATAAGCAAGCATAAGCAGAACTGCAGCCTCTTTAGCCAACCTCGCCTTCTTGTTGTCCACCAAGCTCATGTCACTTGCTTTGTCAATGGCAGTCAAAGCTTGGCTTTCCCATTCTTTCCTTACATCTGCCATAGTATTGTAAGCCTCTCTTGATGGGCACAAGAAAAACCGGAGAATTCCAATCAGTTCCAACAGTCCAAGATCAGTGGCATGTTTGATGCATAGGCAAAGCAAATCAGACCTCTTTTGGGAAATCAGGCTCTCAACCAAGCTTGAATAACACGAATGGCCAACTAACCGGTTAACAATCAACGTCTCCACCATGTCCCATATCTCAAACTTGAGACTTGCTTCGAGAACCAAACTCCCTACATCTCGACCCATAAAAATCCCTACCTTCCGGAGCAATGCACAGGTATAATCTGCATCGTTAGAGGAATCGACGGCAACAGTGAACCCTAACATCTCCTTAACTTCCTCGAGAAATGGCTTCAACATTGTAATGAACTTGTCTTTACTGAAACTGTTGGTGTCCTTGAGCTTCCGCTTTAGCTTTGCATGGAACTTCTTGCTAAGGTCGAGGAGTTTGGCGTCAGTTTGAGAGAGTTGCCATCCAGATACCGGGCTAACAAGGACAGCAGCATTTGGGGTTTCAAGCTGAGGCTTCAAATTCAGAAAAGTGTCATCTGGATTTAGGATTATAGGGTATTCTGACGGGTTAGCAGTATCTTTGGATGTGGTAGCAGCCTTTGTGATCACTTCCAGCAACGACATGGCAAAGAGTGGCGAAATGGGAGCTTGAAATACTTCGCAAGGAAACAAGCAAAAGCTGGAGAAAAACAACACAACCAAACAAAGAGAAGGTAAAAACCCCATAAGGCAAATCGATTTTCCACTAACTAGCAATAGCTTCAAACCGCCATTGAAAACGCCAAGTTCGAAAGAGGAAAAAAGAACACGTTGGCCGCAGAGGTTCAGAGATTAGCCCGAAACAAGAAGGCGGCGAGCAACCAAATATCAAATGCACATACAACCTTAATTGTCCGGGAAGAGCACAGAGGCGTACCTGGAGAAGCTAAGCCTGTGTACTGGAACTTGATGCTTTAGCTCCGACTGCAGCAGCAACCAAGCAAATGGCGAATCCGAAGGTTTAACGATGCACAAATTGGGGCTAGGGTTTTACAGAAAGGGTTTATTTGTCGAGAGAGAAACTCTTTCTGCTTTCTTTATTTTTACATTTTTCTTGGTTTTGTTTTTTTTGGGCCTAGGGATATGCTGTTTATTTTGGGTTTGTTGTGACATGGGCTTTAGCTGGCGAATGTGGACTCCTCCATTGAGCTTTTTCCCCCTCCTTCTGTAGAGGCTAGAGGGCTTTTCAAACAGACTTATTAGAGGGGCCTAGGAATGTGCAATGAGTTGGTAACAAACCGGCGCATAGATTAGACCATACCAATGTTGCCAAACCGGTTTATGCTAGTATGTCAGTTTAGCAAGTGGAATGGTTCAACCGGTGGCACATACCGGTTCATGCCAGTCCATATTACAAATAAAATTATAAATACGCATATTTAAACATGACATTTAACGTCAATACATACACATTTATACTTGAATCCAACAAATAACATTAATATTTAACTTTTATACTCATAAAATAAATAATAAAATAATTTTTATTAATTAAATTCTCTAAATTAAAGTCATTTTACTTAGAGATTTGTATATCGATCATGCCGGTCATACCGGTGGTATCACGCCGGTTTTATGACCGATATCGGTTGAACCCGGTACAACCGGTGGCACGCCGAACGGCATGACAACCATGGACCATACAGAATGGAGAATAATGTGATCTGATTTTTGTTTTATTAATTTTATAAATATTAAAGAAAAATGGAGCGAAGTGATATTTGTATGGCACAAAAGCAAACTTAATGCAATGTTGATCAGGTGCTTGATCCTAAAATGTCTTATATTATTGGACCACGATTTTTAAAAAGTTATATTCGGTCCAAAGTATTGCACACCCCTAATTCCATTTTTTTTATAAATATACGTACACATTTATTATCATAATATGACAAATCTCATGTCCAATATTTCTTTAACTGACTGTTAAAAGACGAAAAATGATCAAATTCCATCTCCACTTAGTAAATCGTTGTTCTCTTTTCTAGTTGAAATAAAAGAAGTTAAAAAGGTTAAAAGGAGTAGAAAAAGAAGTTTTGAAATTTAAGTAAGAATAATTAAATGAGGGATATATTTGTTAATTTGCAATAAATAGTTATGTTAGCGGAAAAAATAGTAAAAAGATATAGTTATGTTAGCGAAAAAAATAGTAAAAAGATATATTTGTTAATTGATATGATCTCGATTCATCAACCCATCAAACGTCCATGGCCTTTGACGCAATCACCCTCAACCCTTTCGAAATCTCCAGAATTTTGGTTTAGTATTTGTGACGTTTGAGGGTGGCATCTTTGACGGGTCATTCCTTCCAACTGGATTGATGAAAATGCAAGGGAAGGTTACGGGATTGACAATCAGGTGTTCTTTTATGAGATCATAAACTTAGCCGGTCCGAGAGAAGCTTCCAGGCCTCATTTGTACAGCCCTCAAGATGCCATGACAAAACTGGGAATTGGCTTGGTTTGCTGGAATTAACCAAGGCAGGAGACTGTTTCGGGTGGCCAACTTGGAGCTCGTGTTTGAGCCAATGGGATCGCATTCGAAGGGAGCTGTTGGATGGAATAGGGAGTTCGACACACGTTAAAGAGAGGACTGGAGTTGGATGAGTTCGGGATACCATGAAGGCCTCGAACGTCGCCTTCAAAGTGGCTATGAAGCCTCGTTTGTTCCGTGCGTGCGAAGTCAAAAGGCTTGCTTAGCAAGTGAAGGATTTTCATTCCTTTTCTATGTTGGATTTGTACTTTAATTAGAGTTCGGTTTAAGTTTTGTTTCCTTGTTAGTATTGTGTTCGTATTAGGATTAGTTTGGCTATTTAAGGGGCCTAGATTGTCATTGTAAGACTCACGTTTGAATGAAAGATACAACCTTGTTCATTGAGTTATCAAGCTCGTGACATCATCCTTGTTTGCTAGAATCAACTCTCGCAATCAAGCGAGCTCAGTATCGAATGAGTATTCCCCTCATTCGTGGTTGAGTTGCTATCCAAACTCAGTCGAGCCTCCTTCCCAATTAGTGTGTTAAGGTTGCTTGCTGATCACCATCACCACTTACCCTGCTTATCGGCTGGGGTTGAGTTTTGACTCGACTCTACTGTCACTCCAGGAATTGGCCAAGTGTAACCACTTCCTAAAGCGTAGTATAGCAGGTTTAGGTTTAATTATCAACCCGGGTCCTAGATTTGCTGACTACTCAGTGAGTTCTTGTTATCTAGCAATAAAACTGGAGTGCAAGTCTAATCTACCAAACAAACGAAGCAAGTAAACGGTTGTATTCAGGTTAGAGAGGTTACCCGGATATGGTTCCCCCTAGACTGCAGTTAAGCCGGATTGTAATTACCAAGTTCAGTTTCTATGACAGTTATACTGCGGAAGGTTCTCAAACAGCCTGAAGTCTCGACTAAAGGTCTTCAGACCCTCTCAATCTGACTCTCTAGCGGGCGACTAACCTCCACCGGAGTCGACAGATTGAGGCCCTAAGAACAAAACCTCCACTACCGGAGTAAATCCGGTACAGAATAGTGAGTTGGCTCCTCGACTAAAGTCACCAACTCCCTACCTTCAATCAAGGATACTCTATTAACCTAGGCAGATATTCTCATTCTAGGTTAAAGCAGAAACAACAGGAATTTGATCAGGATTCAAGTCATTCAATCATTAAAACCTCAATCGAATATAATCAATCACAGAATCAGTACTTGGGTTCATACAATCAAAGCCTAACATACAAATCTAGGGTTCTCCATACCCAGATGAATGGGAGAACTACTCCATAGAGAAGAAAGCAAAAGCAGAATCAGACACGGAATTCATACTGCGAAGGATGGATTCCTGCTTCTGGACGTTGATTGGCACTTCTCCAAGCTCAAGCTGGCCTCCAATGGTGTTGAAGATCAATCTAGGGCACTTGGGAACTCTTGCTCGTCACTTTCTCTCTCTAGGAACTAATCTCTCTCTCAAAAACTCGAATCCCCCTTCTGTTTGGCTGAAAATCTGCTTAAAAAGGCATCAGCCAAAGCACGGTCGAGGGCACGGCCGTGTAATGCCTCAGCCCGCCCGTGCTTTGGCTAGTGTTAATTACACTAGCAGCAGTGGGGAGAAACACGGCCGTGCTTCGCTTTGGACACGGCCGTGTAATGCTTGAACACGCCCGTGCTTTGTTTTGGCCCTGCCCGTGTAATCAGCTCTCGGCATAAAAAGCACGGCCACCAGAACACGGTCGTGTAATGATTTAGGTGTGCCCGTGTTTTGGCTCCAGCTCACCGAAATGACTTCCGAATGCCCCGAAACTCGCGCTTAGCCTTCCCTTTGACACCTGGGACCTGAAACATGACAAAATAGCACAACCCGGCGTAAAATAGGCCACAATACACGACTATGCCCCTCAAACGGATAAGAACTAGGGGCGCAAATATGTGCAATTACATCGTTATCAAACTCCCCCACACTTAACCGTTTGCTTGTCCCCAAGCAAACCTAACTCAAACCAATGCAACTCTCCAGACCTCCATAGCAACAAACAACCCAGATCGTAAGTAGCGGATGTCTCGAGCCTCGTGCGGGGGAAAGACATGTAAGGGGGCTGGAGGTAGTAGATGGAAATTGGGAACGAATTCCCGTCTCCCCTTACACACTTTCGCCCTATTCGCACGGGAGACGTTTATTTTCAAGCACATTTTCGAGCACCTGTTAAACTCAAAACATGATACAAGAGTCCATGACAGGCAGAGAATCCACAACACCACACAATTCAAGGGTCCTAAGATCACTAATTCACTCAATCAACCAACACAATATGAAGAAGAAATGAGACTCCTTAAATGCATCAACATCCTCCATAGTGCTACACTACCTCCCTAGGTTGCATATCACTATAAAGACTGTCAATTCAAAGCATACAGAGCAGGCAATTACAAGGAAACACGTACTTGGAACCCTCAAATTTTAAAAATTTGGACAGTGGACTAGGCTCCAAGCACACAAACAGATCTAAGGGGAACGATGTTACCGGTATGCACGGACTGCAGGGGACTGGAAACGGGCCAGTCGGGGCAAGCACAGCCAAAGGGGAACAGAAAAGCTCAAACACAGTATGTTAGGTTCAATGGTCAGCCCAATAAAATATCATCCAAACCAAAAGAAAACAAACCAAACCCAAACCGGGTTACAATCCGACGCAAAACACAAGAAAAAAAATCAAACCGAGGTGGGGTTGCCTCCCCACAAGCGCTTCTTTACCGTCGTATTAGCTGGACGCCCATGGTGGATACTCAGGGCGGTGCAGGAACAGGTGCCTCCAAGAGCGGATCCACGTCGCTCTTGAGGTACAGCTTCAGGTTGTGGCCATGCACCCGACGGATGCGACCACCCTCATCAGTCAGCTCGACCTGCCCATCTGGCAAGATGCAGGAGAGCGAGTACCCAGACGGCCAGGGTGGTCGTGGTGCAGGAGGTGGGACCAGCTCATAGTGGTCTCCACTCTTCTTCCGTGCAGGCTTAGCAACCTGCTGCTTCGGCCGCCACTCCTCCTTAAGCTTTTTGTTCGGAGGTGTGGCTGGATGGAGTGGCGGCGAAGGACTGATAGGAGGGTCCTGCAAAATGAGAGGAGCAGCAGGATACACGACAGGCTCGTGTACCTGATCAGACATAGCATGCATAGGCGTGACATCAATCATAGCACAGTGATCAAACTCAGTCACAGAAAAAGTAGCATGTTCATTCCCAGCACGCAAGATCAGTTTTCCTTCATGCACATCAATAAATGCCTTGGCGGTGGCTAGAAATGGCCTACCTAGAATCAAAGGTACATCCACATCCTCATTTACATCCAGAATAACAAAATCAACAGGATATGTGAATGCACCAACATGAACAAGCAGATCCTCTATAACACCCCTAGGATGCACAATGGAACGGTCAGCGAGCTGAATGCTCATCCTAGTAGGGCTAAATTCACCTAAGTCTAGCTTCTTAAACAACTTATATGGCATGACGTTTATGCTAGCACCTAGGTCCGCCAAGGACTTGCCTACATGCATGCTGCCAATAGTAAGAGGGATAGTAAAACTCCCTGGATCC